CCCCCCCTTAGTACATTATAACCTAAACTCTAACTCTCTCTCTCTCTCATTTGCCTTGCTCTTTCTTGGCATGATATAACTATATTATACTCACCTTTTTTTTTCTCTATAACTATATATAAACTTTACGAAAATGTTAAAATTTTTCTAAAAAAAAAACCCTCCATTCTTTCTCCATCCCCCCTGCCCCCCGAACCTAAACTTTAAAATCTAGTAGTCTTCCTTTTTTTTTCCTTTTGGTTTTGTGGTTTGTGTTTGAAATCGGCGGGGTTAGTAGTAGTAGTCGTAGGGCAGTAGGGTCCAAAGAAAGAGATGTTTAAGATAATCATCACGGTATGCACAACTTGCAATAACAACAACAACAACGAAAAAAAAGATGAAAAAAAAAACTTGGACACAATTTTTCGTTTCCATTTCTCACCACCAAGATTGTCGCAACTCCCCCCTTCTTATCAAAGTGCTGATATCAAAACATAGAAGAAGGAGTATGTGATACTACACCCATCATGGATCGTAATAGAGAAGTAGTAACCGTTCATTGATTTTCCAACGCCTCCCATCGTGCCATAAAAAAACCAAAGAAAAAGAACAAAAAAAGCCATGATCCGTTTCAGACATTTGCTCGCGTTCACACAATAAAAAGTGGTCGGTCCGCCATCTCATCTAACTTGCGGGAAAACTCCCGTAAAAAAAAAGACTTCGAACTCGACATTGAACTCGGCTTTGGTATCTTAGTTCTCCGCAATCGTCTTGACGAATTCTGATCATCCATGTTAGCCTTCCAGACATCCTTGAAAAGGTAGAAAATATCGAAACTCACCCCTGTAGTCCACCTCATTATTACTCGCGTCAATCGTGCTCTTGAACAACTCATCCACCTCCTCTTCGCTCATCTTCTCGCCCAAGTTGGTCAGGATATACTTGATTTGACCCTTGCCGACAAACCCGCTGCGATCCTTGTCGAACACCTGGAACCCGCGGATGTACTCTTCAATGTCAAAGGGCTCGCGGAAGCCGCCGGGGCGGTTGAGGATCTTGGAGAAGGTGTCGAAGTCGACTATTCTTGCGTTAGCCAGATGGAAACATGGAAAGATTTGGGTAGAGAGGGTGGAAACCAAGGGAACATACAGTCAGCTCCGAGACCACGCTCCAAATCGGCAATCTCGGCCAACGTGGGGTTCTGGCCGCAGGCACGAAGCAAGTCGCCCAGTGCGCCGCGGTCGACGCGGCCGTTGCCGCGCTTGTCGAAGAGCTGGAAGGCTTCGCGGTAGTTGGTGGAGGCCTGATTACTGTTATCCATTGTCCTTTACACTTTGCTGCAACGAAATCTCTAGTCGACGTCGTCCGTCTTATTCGGTGCGTGTGGAAAAGAGAACGGTGGTTGGAGTGCCGGAGACGGAGAGAGACGGATGTTTGTTTTGTGTGTGTGCGTGGCAAAGGGAAACAAGGCAACGAGTTCGGTGGTCGGAGTCGGAGTTTTGTTGTGTTTGTAATGTTCAAGCCGCGGGGGGGCGTTTTGGTGTAGCCAGGTGAGGCAAAAAAGTAGTCGTTTGCTCCCTTTCTCGTCGCCTTGTTTTCGCCCTTTGCTGCACCTGCTGTGGTCCGTTTGAACGGGCAGCGTCGTTCCATCTCCGGCACTCACTGCTTGGCGTCTGACACGCCATTTGCGCGGCGAGTTTGCTCGCCTTTGCAGGGTGCAAAGGGGGTACAGACGGGGGCGGCGGTGCGGGTGCGGGGCAGGCCTCGTGTGCCTGTGTACAATGCCACCGTCTCTTTTCCAGGGATACACCAGTTACAAAATGTCTGTTACATACCATTGTGTAGATGTAGTTTGTTTGTAGGGAGTGTGGGTGGTGCAAAGGTGCTCGGCAGGTGTTCAGAAAGGAAGTCCAAAATCTGGAGTGGATAGGGCGGTGTGAGGCTTTCGAGTTGGTGTTGAAGGGGCGGCTGTTGATGTAGCCTGAGCGTGGGCCGTATGGTGCGACGAGCGCAAAATAATGTCTGCCAAGGGCGGAAGCGTCGTCGTCTCAGCAACCAGCGGTGTACGACTATCCGCGGCTACACATCACTGGCTGTCAACCAACTATCGCGCTGTATCACTGACGACATGGTATTGTTAGGCGCTGTGGCATGTTGATGTGTACATTGTATTCGTCCTTGGTTGTACATTGCGCTTGTGCGCCATGCAAACCCTCTATCTATGCACTCCAATAAACGTCCTCTCACCCCGATACATGTGTATACTCCTACTGAAATGATCCTCTTCCTCTTCCTCCTCCTTGATCCACACTCCATCCACCAGTTTTGCTCTCACCATCTTCTCGTCATTTCCCTCTCCAGGCAGCGTCCCACCATCCCTAACCTTGCCTTCAGCCATCCTCACCCCCACAGCCTCAACCACCGTATCAAAACCCTGCTCAACGTCTTCTTCACCCCATGGCAGGCTGTCAATATCAATTTGTTTTTCCTTGCCCAGCAGACACATGATGATGACCATAGCCCCAGCCTTTGACATGACCTGATTCGCCTGCTTGCACGCATCGTCATTACAGCACTCGTTGCATCCTTGCAAACAGTGACAGCTCGTCAGCCTCTGACACGCCTGCTGCAGCAACGTATCGATAAACTCAAAAGCCTTTGTGCTAATCCCAGAGCCACTCGCACCCCCCTTTGCGTCGTAAAAAGTTAGCCGAGCCGGCCGCTTCCTCGTCGATTCCTTTTGCAGAAACTCCTTCTCGGGCACTTTGCATTCCGTCCGGACGTCGCCCGGCATTGAAATGACAAAGTTCGGCATCAGACATAGGACCGCGTGCTCAGCAGCATGGATGCCGGCTGCAATGTTGAGCCGCCGGGACTTTAGAATATCCATGGCGGACTTCGGCACGTCGAGCCACATGCCCTTGCTGAAGAGAATAATGGGCGGGTTGTCGACTTGCACCGCGTCTAATATCCGCCGGCGCTTGTCGATCTTGAAGAAGCCGTACACAACCTGCTTGATCTTGATCGGGCCGTAAAAGGCTTTTGACCGTGAGCCTGGGATGCGGTGGATGGCTTCTGTCTCGACGGGATCAATGTCTGTGTAATCACGCTGCTGAGTCGTCCAGTCTACCTTGACGTACTCGACCTTTGCCAGCATCCGCTCCTGTGAGAACTCCTTTACCAGATACGTGTTGCCCTGGTGCAAGAATATGCCGCCGTCGTAGAGAGTAAAAAAGGCACGACTGGCTTCTAGCTCTTCAAGAACAGTGTTCTTGCCATTTGTAGTGTCGATAATAGCAAAATGATCTTCTTCTGTATCTCGGATAGCCACCGTGCGAGACGGCTGTGGGAGGAACCGCTCATTGACGTGGTAAAAGCCCTCCTTGTCACGACGCATACGCTCGCGAGCAATCTTGGGAAGCAGAGTGCCGAAATATTCCACATCGGTCTCCACATTGATCGGCATCTCGTAAGCAGCACATTGGATGTGGCCCTCAACCACAAGCATGTTCTCCAGATCCACCTGGAGCGCGCAATTTGGCTTTGTGAAGATCTCGTCTGGGTTCGACATGTAGTACTGGTCCGTAGGAAAGGAGTCGCCGACCAGAACAGACAAAGAATCCTTGTTTCTTCGGCCAGCACGTCCACTCTGTTGTCGGAGATTGGCAATGGTGTAGGGAAAGCCAACTGTGATGACAGCGTCCAAAGATCCGATATCCACACCAAGCTCGAGCGCACTGGTAGCTACAACACCACACAGTTTGCCATCAAACATTTCTCGCTCAATCTCCCGCCTATCTTGCGGTTTGTATCCACCTCGATACGACATGACGCGAGGAATGACTTCTGGCCGTTCCAAGTTTGTCAACTCCGCCTTGACAGCCACCATCAACGCCTCACATTGTTTTCGTATGCGACAAAACGCAATAGTCCGTACACCTCTGAGCATAAGTTGACAAAACAGCTTTGCAGTCTCAGCCATACAATCACCACGTCCCGAAGTAGGATCGCCGGGATCCTTGAAAGGCGTGTTCCAGCAAAGAAACTCCTTGCGACCAGACGGCGATCCATCAAAGTCTGTTAGCCTGACTTGCTCAACTCCGAAGATAGTCTTCATGTGTTCCTCTGGATTTGCAACGGTAGCCGAGCAGGAAATGAACTTGACATGACGATTTCCCACTGCTGCACATACTCTTCGTAGGCGCCGCATGATGAAAGCCATGTGTGCGCCGAATAGTCCGTTGTACACATGCAATTCGTCAACCACCACAAATCGCAGGTTCTGCAAAAAAGTGCGCCAGGAATCCTCTTGCGGTAGAATAGTAATGTGCAGCATGTCAGGATTGGTGAAGATGATGCGTGCTTCATCGCGGATGTAATTTCGATCACCCATTGGCGTGTCGCCATCAAATGTCTCAACCAGAACGTCTTCAAACCCAGGCATGAACCGCAGAAGCTCCTTCATACTCTTCCTCTGATCCTGAGCCAGTGCCTTGGTAGGGAAAATGTACATGGCCCTGGTATCCGGCTCCTGCTCCAGCTGATGCAGAACGGGTATCTGGTAGATGAGCGATTTCCCAGAGCTTGTCGAGGTAGACACAATCACATTGTGCCCATCATAGAGATTGTTGATAGCCTCGGCCTGGTGTGCGTACAACTGAGTGATGTTTTTCGTATTGTAGAGGGCATTGACAAGGCTTTGTGACATGGCAAAATTGAGGTCGCCATACACAGGTTCCTGAGGATCGAAAACTCGATGACCGTCTGGTACAATTTGGCCAGTGTACCATTCAAGCGTCTTAATCTCGTTGAGGATATCCGGAATGGACTTGCGTTCTGCAGGTATCGAAGACGGTAATAATGACCTCTCTGGACCAGGAGTCGACGCCCTACTTTCAGACGGCATCGGAATGAAGGCCTGAGAAACCTCCTTGATCTTTTCTACAGCATCGACGCCATCTTCAGCGCATTGGTTCAGGAAGGCATTGATTGCCGAAGTAAACTTGGCGTTCCTCTTCTCAATCAAATTCATCATCTGCTTCTGGCTAAACACCGGCATCTTGAGTTCTTCATTGCGCAGCTTCGTCGTAGCGTTGGTCGGCTCCCCAGTTTTCTTATGCTGGACCTGGCGCCTCAGATCGCCATCAATGAACTCAAAGAGCAGTACCTCCTTGTGCTCGCCTTTTTCTGGCTCAGGTCCAAGTATGGCAAAGTCGGTTGTACGCCTCCCGTGCATGTTATCTTCCGAGCCCATTAGATTGATCTGCAGCATTGCCTCGTCCACGTACGCAAAGTTGATCGCCCTTGGGATCAATGCCGTGATTTGAGCCACATCCTCAATCAACAGCTCGCGTTGTATGTTACCCTCGACTGTGCTCTTGAGATTATCCAGTGTCGTCGCTAGATGTTTGCGCGTGCATAGAAAAGTATACACTAGGTTTACCGCGCGATGCACCTGAGCAAGCTTTGTGAAGTGCTCTGGCCACGGTATCGAGGTTTCGACAAGCGTGGAAGATCCATGGCGCACGAGAGGCGGTTTACCAGCACCAGCTTTCTTTGGTGCTCGCCGCGGTTTCTTCCCTCCGTCGTGTGTCTTCGTAGGAACGCTCGTCGTAGTCGTGGCTGTAGCCTCGTCATCCTCGCAGTTTTTCCGTTTCCCCTTCCTTACTCTCTGGTCCGAAACAGTGGCAGCCTTCATTCGAGGCATAGCAGTCGCATTGTGGTGTTCTGGCTAGCCAACAGCACTGATCAAAACCACGCTCAAAAATCGATGACGCAATGGCGCAAGGGCAGTGCTTTTACTATGCGCAGGATGTTTTCTTCTCACGCCTTTATTCTTGATTCACTGGGCTGCATGGGATGTGTCAGATATCGTACTTTCGCGATCTCAGTGGCTGTGGCGACGCACATTTGAAGACGCGAAAGCCCTGTCCGACGCGTTGTCGCGCTCTCACGTGCTGGGACTCCAAGCAGCCAACCCCATATACCATCACAACATGGCAAACACAGTGATAACGGAGATTGGCACAAGCATTCTCTTCATCATGTCACTTCAATTCAAACAGAGCCCAAAATATAAATGCTGCATATACAATGGAAAGTAAAGATTTATTCTCATGCCGCATGAGCACACACCAGCCCGGGGTATAAAGCAAGTAGCTCAGCAGTATCCCTCCCACGTCCCATCCTCCGAATAGCCATGTGCTGCCTTGAAAAATGAAGATTAAAAAGACAATATAAAACAACACTCCTTCGCTAGAATGCAAATACAGCAGAAAAGACAGACCTTAAATAGCATATACATGGCATACCATAACCTCGTGATAAACATAATACCTGACCCCGTAGGTTTGCTGGTCAGATCCAATGTTGCGGCAGTGAGAAGTAAAAGAATAAGATCATCGTCACCCATACGTATGCTTACACCACAGTTGCACCTGGAATGAGCATCTCAATGCACTTATTCAGCAAATTGCTTGCCTCGTGCAGCAACTCCCATCTTGTCTTCTTGAACATGTCCCTCATAATGATGAGTAATCCCAAGCAGGCATTGCGATTTGTGACCTTGCTCAAGTCCTCGGGCGACCTGACCCCGCCAACACGGTTGAGATACAAGACCATGTCTCTAACCTTGTCGTCATAAGTAGGAAGCTGGTAAGGTTCCTTGACTGGCCCGTCGAGTGCGAATCCGTACGACCACACAATCAGTGTGGCAAAGTACAGCACCCACGGTCGGTTGAGGAGATAGTCGTCGCGTGCAGAGTAAGAAATGCCAGCAGTTGCCGGGGTGCTGGGATTCAGACTATGATCTCCAGCAACCATGACGCTAGACAGGAAGCGCAGAGCGTAAAAGGTGGCGTCCCGGGCTCGGGCGGTGGGGGCCCATACATCCTTCATCCGGCGTTGAGCGCCATTGTAGTCTTGTGGCGTTATTGACCTGCCGAGCAGTCTGGGTGCTCCGGCGTAGATTTGGCAATCGACAATATCCACATGCATAGCCATGTGCGCCAGATGGTGAAGGACAGTGCGGGACTCGAAGACGATATCGTCATCGATACCGCGAGAATGATTGTGTGAGCTGGAGGAAGATGACTCGTCCGATCGGTTGAGTGAATTGTCAAAGTCCTGCTTCCAGAAGTCAAAGGCGCGAGTGAGAGAACCTCGCCATTTATCGCGCCCACCCAACGCTGTAGTCACACCGAGAGAGCTGACCTGCAAATCTCGCTGATTCATGTGCCATGATACACTCAGCAGGCCGGCCATGAGGATGGTGCGCCCAAACGAGTTTGTGCGGACCGACTGTCCATTGAGTGTCTTCTTAAGACCGTCAAGGAACGACATCGGCTTGATACCGTTTGATGTTAGAGTCTGCTCAACCCGACCCACTTCGGAACTGCTCGTCGCAGACCACAAGGCTTCGTCACACGGCAAGGGAAGACGCATCTCGTGGGCGACCATGACAGCGCTGTGACCAAACATGGTGGCGTGGATGCTATCCATGACGAAGGCTGCAAAGGCAGCTCTCCGAGTAGCCTCATTGGTGATCCAGTGGTTCCACCATTCATCTGGCGTGTTTGCAATTCCATTACTCTTGCCGTCCTTGACGCTGGGAGGTGAGTCCATGGCAGAACGACCAATCAACGAACTGCCTCGCCTCATCAGCGTCAATGTCGTTGCATGGTGAATATGGGCTCGTTCGTGTAGCGGGCGCGTCGAGTACATCTTCTCAAAGCTCTCGAGCAAGAGCAGTCCCTGGAAGATCCAAAGTTTGGCAGGTGGACGGAAATCAGCATCCATAAACATCTCCCAACGCAAGTGCCAGGCAAAGAAGTTGGCCAGCTCAGCACAAGCTTGTGTTGTTTCTCGGCCGTACGTCTTCTCTAGACAAGATGCTCCAAGACACATGATGGCGAGCAGCAAGAGGTCTGGACAAGTGCTCGCGTTAAAGGTTGGCTTGTGCAGTATCGGCAACTGCGGGTGGAAGTGAACCCAGTACGAGCTAATGTACGTCTGCATCATGTGAAGGCTGAGGACGTGACGGCTATCGTCCTTGTCGCCATCCATAATGTCCTCCTTTTGCTTCTTGACTGGTGCATGGTCAGTCTCGTTGAAACGGAGATGAATCAAGTCAATGAGATCCTTGCGCTTCTCTTCCGACAGGGCAGATTCTGGAAGGGTCGTGTCTAAGATGCTGTGGACAGCCATGGGGTGGGAAGGCGGTGCAGGGTTGTTCAGATAGCCAGCCACTGAGGGATCGTAGTTGAAGTATGGAGCTTGAAGACCAATCTGGCTTGACGCGCCTCCTGTAGAGCTGACTCCGCCGGGATAGTCCATGGGCGATCCGCCTCTTGGGTTGAACTGGTTATCATTGAACAGCCAGGCAGCAAAGTCGTCGGCCATGGCGAATGGTGATCGGCTGTATCCAGCACTGCCAAACATTGGTATGGAATATGCAGGGTTCTGGTCCATCATGGCGTCCGATACACCCTGCATACGGTTGTCTATCTGGGCTGAAGAGTCGACGCCGTTAACGGGAGTCTGTGCGGACGAGCCATTATAGTATTGGTTTTCATGTTCTCGAGATGCAGGGGTGCCCGTGGATTGTGGATATTCTGGTGGTGGTAAGGAGGAGAACGCAGGGAAATTTTGCACGGATTGATACGCACTTGCGCTGTTTTGATAGCTGGTCGATGAGCCCGATGGAGTGTATGGCGACGGAGTGACGGTCGAACTGTAGGGTGACGTTGAGCTGTATGAACTCACGTTTGACGTCTGCGCGCGTAGCTCGGGCCGTGTGAAGCTGCCATTACCCACATGTGGGGAGTTGTGGAGAGGCGTCCGGCCTCCCCCGTAATTACCCAATGTGGCCGGACGGGGTGGGGGTGCAAAGTTCCCTGAATTTTGAGCCTGCATATCATAAGGCTTGGCCTCCGAGCTGCCTCGGTAGGCATCATCGCTCCCCGTCCTTTGCAGCGAGTCTTGCCTGCTATGGGTTGCTGTGGTTGGGGTTGGCGACTGGAAGTTTGGCGGTGACATTTGCGCGCAGTGTCCTCCGTTGGAAGATGCAGAAGCTGGAGATTGCAGGCCATGGGGTCCTTGGCTCTTCATGCTCAGCGGCTTAGGGGGTGGTGCGCTCTTTCCCCCCAGTGCAGCAGTCACGATGGGGTTCAGGTTATGCATATTGAACGTGTCCTTGCGCAGCAATTGGGAACCACGGGCCGTGTGTCTTTCCTTGTGGCGCGCGCAGAGGTCTTGTCGGACAAAGGAGCGATGGCAGTCGGGGAAATCGCAGTGGTATATTTGCTTTGGATTATCTGCGCACAGCATTAGCATCATGGCTGCTTCAAGCAATTGTGTTTTCCATGGATACTCAATGTGCTGCCGGTTGCAGCTCTGCCCGAACATAATGGTAAATAATGCAACTCACGGTTCAGTTGGTGGCGGTACAGATGCTCTGCGCGGGAGTAGCTCTTGCCACAGCCCTCGTGGGGGCACTCAAACTTCTTGTCGAGGCCCTTTCTACTGCGCCGCCTCTTTCTCGAGGAGCCATGGCCGTCACCCTCGCCATCGCCCGTGTCGCCATCGTCGTCTCTGTCGCGTCGACGGCCGCGGGCTTCGCCGCTGTCAGGCGAGGCGGGGGTCGGGGGCTCGCTGGCAGCACCGACAGCGCTGTCCATTTTGTCTCCAAAATGCGTCTGGATCTTTCCCAAATCCGACGCGTGCGCAGGATGCATGTGGAGGATTTGCGCCGTCATAGCCAGCGGGGGAAGGGGAATCAAGGCCAAGGTCGTGTGTCGGGGGCTTTGGCAGGTTATGCGCGTGGTTGGGCGGGCCGGTGGCGGGACGACTCGCGTGTCGGGTTGTTGGCAAACAATGGATGTTGATGTTAGTCAAGAGGCGCTGGGTGGAGGGCGAGCATGCTGCTTTTGGAAATCACGCTGCGTAGAATGCAGATGCACTGAAAGATGGAGGGGGGTATTTTCTTGGAGGGGTTGTGGAGAAATGAACAAGAGGGGTGTCGAGTAGATTCAGGTACTAATCAAGGGTAGTGTTGGTGGTGGTGGTGTGGCAAGTGTGTGTGTGTGCGCGCGCGTATGTGCGTGGGTAGTGGTATGTGGGTGTGTAGGACTACGGGGAGCCGCCTGGAGGGGTGGGCGAGAGCGTCTCGTAAATCACCGATGGTCTGGGCAATGAGTAGCAATGACTTGCAGGGACGGGCGCTGTGTCGAGGCGTCGAGTGGGTTGTGTGCGGGGGGTTGGACAAAGTGTGCACCCTGGGAGCGTGGGGAAAAGCAACTGCAAGTGCGCAGGTCGTGTGGGAGCAGACGGGCGCGGGTAGGAGAGGATGGGGATGGGCAATGGGGAATGGCGGGAGCAGTATGTAAGCTGGGCTGCCGCTGCTCAGGGTGCCGAGAGACGGACGCTCAGGCTCAGGCGACTTGACCAAGTGATTGCGCAGTAGCCGCGATAAGAAGACCATGTGCCGTGGCAGTGGATAATATCTCGAATTGGGGTGCACGCCTGGCTGAAGAGGTGAGGGGTAGATGCAGGGCCCCCCCCCTCCCGGCCCCTGGCCATGACCACCACCACCACCGCCTGGCGCAATCAACCGATGGGAGGGTCTGTGTAGTGGTAGTGCTGTGTGCAGAGAGGGTATCTATGTACTACACCCAGCATGGACTGCGACAGGGCCGCCGGCACAACTGGGACAAAGAGGCTCTAATATCAACCACCCTGCAGTAGGACAACGTGGAGAAGGGCGACGGGCCCTCGCTCTTGCGCGGGATTGGCGGCGGCGGGCGTGGGGGCTGCACTGAACGAACGCTTTCTCCGAGGTGCTGGTGCTACTATTCCGTGTAAATGCAAATGCAAATGCCAATGCCCATAGCTACACCAGTTCCATGAATCGCGACGTGCATTTGCAAGTAGATAGATAATCAAATCTCGTCTGCTTACATGAAATCCCTCGGCTGTGGTATGCATACGAGTGAGTAGGCGTACTTGCCAGAGGCAGCAAGCACTCGCCAATTCTCTCTCTCACTTTCTCACTCGCACTCGCCCGCTCGCTGGCTCGCAAATGGTGTCGAGAAAGCCCGACGAATACTAATTTCCACACCTCATCATTCAGCGCCTCCCGCCCTCGCCTGCTCCCATTGGCTGGCAGTTTACCCAGCCAGCTAGTGCCGCGCCCGGGCCCTGCGCACCTGCCAATAAGGCGCGGCCCGGTCGTCACTCCACCACCACCTGCATGTGTATGCGCGCCGCCCGGAATCTCGGCCGCTGTCCATTCCGCTTCTCTCGCCGCATTCGATGCTGCCTGCCTTTGCCTGCCAAAACCCATCGCCCGCCAGACGAGCCAACTCGACTCTCTTGAAAAGAAAAGAAAAAGAAGGTTTGGTAGCGCCAATCAGCCTGCAATGCCATTCACAGTGCACCCATCCCATGCATATGCACATTGCACACATACATATATGCATCTGACCTGACATCAGAGACCGCAACTGCAAAGAAAGAAAGAGAGAAAGAAGAAAACAACAACCCTTTGCCCCCAGTGGCTAGTCAAAGTTCGCGTCACCGTTTGCAGCTCCCGACACATCTGCACGCATACGCATTACTTTTCGCAATCCTCCACGTTTCAAGAGCTGCATCCTCTCCTCCTCCTGCAATGTTACCCCGTCCCACCCGTCTCCTATTCTTCATTCTTACTCATGATCCCTTGGCTATACAACTTCATCAACTATGCCATGTAGCTGCCGTCTTTTCCATTTCCACGGCACACGCTAGCGATAAGCTCTCTTCGCCCCGCGGACGCTATGTGCGCCGTCGCCAACCTAACAAGCACGTCGGGTCGACTTACCAGACCACACTTACGTACGCATGCAAATCCATACGCCAGCTTCTGAGTCTTCTCCTCCTGTTAACCCTCCCATCGTGAGATTGTGAGTTTGAGCACACGACTGCCTGACGTCAACCCGCCTGCACAAGACCACACACGGCACGCGTGACCAATGTTTGTACGTACTTGTGTGTGTATACTACATTGTACATTGTACATTGACACTTGATCCACGGCAGGCCCCTCGGATCGACCCCGCCAATTCGTCGTGTCTTACTACTTTTTTTCGCTAAAGGAAAAAAAACAAAATAATACATGGTATGGTAATAGCCCCTTCCATCCAGTCACTCCACTTCACCCTCGACAAGTACCTACTCTGCCGCTTGCGAGTTGGCCTCGTCCTCCTTGTCGCTCGCCTTTGCAGCACCACCAGCCTCTCCACTCTCCCCTGCCTTCGCAGCAGTCGCCTTGTCGCCGTCATCACCAGTGGCTGTAGACTCTGCTTGATCTCCCTTCCCCGCAGCTGCCTCGCTCGAGGCCTCGGTCCCGTCACTCTTGGCTGCCTCTGTGGCGCTCTCGCCCGAAGCCTCATTATCGCCTGCAGGTGCAGGATCCCCGGCCTTTTCATTCCCAGTGCTCACTGTTTCCTCTTTGTCATCATTTTTGCTCTCTGATGCTCCCGTCTTGGCACTCTTAGCACCGGATTCGTCACCCTCCTCGTCACCCTCTTCAATCGTGGTGACATCTCCGTCACTGTCTTCTTCGCCCTCTTCATCGTCCTCATCCTCATCCTCATCGTCGTCATCGCCCTCTCCGCCTTCCTCTGGTGTTGCTGGCTCAAAAATTTGCGTCACAGGCCGGGCGTTGAGGTTGAGATCTGGTTGCTCCTCCTCCTCTTCATTCTCTTCTACCACGGTGTGCACAATTGTTGCACCTACCGATGGCGAATGCCTATGTCGCTTTGTAGTCCCGGCAGTTGAAAGTGAGTTGTCAGACATGGCCCCAGCCAGCGTGTTGTCAGAGATCTGGGAGCCCGTGTCTGAAGGCTCACGCTTCAGAATCAGAGGCGGTGCCGTTGGCTTGTTCTCTGAGTTGAGATCAATACCCTCTGCCTCTGGGGGTATGGTGTAGTTGTCCTCTGGCACCAAGCCATACACATCGCAGACTGTCTTGTAAAAAATGTATAGCCCTGTGCGTCCCTCGACATGCCAGAAAACATCCCGGTGAGAGTACCATGCGTGTGCAAATATCCTGTACACACGTCTGAAGATGTTGGTGAGCTGTCGTGTCTGTGAGTGCTGCGTTGACTGATCTGTCCCCAGCGCGAGGCGTGATGGAAAGTGCTTTGGCGATGTGAGGGTATTGGCCGCCCAGTCGAGCGTATGACAGCAGTAGTCAATTGCGCAACATGACTTTGGTGGGTCGTGAACCGCGCACAGATACTGCCACTCTGACGCACGCATCTCCGGGCAAGTCAACGACGAGCATGGCGGGTTATCTGCGAAGAGGGCGGTTATAATCGAGTTGACCTTTTGTATGAGAAAGCGGCATAGTTCGTAGAGCCACAGCGTCCTGTCCACATTCTCCGGCGCATGTGCAATCTTGAGGGCCATTTCTCGATCTACGGGCACGGTGCCGTTTGCTCCTATCGGGTGCGTGAGGAAGTTATGCAGCGCCTTGAGGTGCTCCGTGAGCTGGAACGCTGAATCAATCTGGCCCAATGTTAGCCATGCGCCTTTGCATCTTGCAACCGGCCATGCCTACCTCTGCAAGTTCTACAAGCGGAGGGCCCTCTGCCATGTCTGCTGCCTTGGTCCCCGGCCGTATCCTTCGCTCAGCGACATGGTCAAGGTTGTTGAAGGGCGTCTGCTGGTCGGACGAGGCTGCAATTGGCGACAGCTGGTCTTCAGGGATAGGTGGCGGGCTGGGAAGACGGGGCGAAGCGGGCGACGTCATGGCGATACTGCTGAGAGCAATTGAGGAGCGGGGGCTTATAGAACAGCCTCGCAATCGACGCAGGTAAGACCTTGGGGTGGGGTGTAGCGTGTTGTTGACTTTCGGTCTATCTGGAGCTGGCTGCCGACGCAGGGTACATGTGCAGGGATGCTGCCCCAGTACGCGACCGCGCTAGAGTCTTTGCGGGTCACATTTTTGCTCCCCTCCGCACGACGTCATTGCTGAGTCTATTGGCTTGCACACAGTCTGGGGTGCATTCTTCGAGTCTTCTGTCTTTACCGAGATATTTGGAAGCATACTATTTTTCAGGATCCATCTACGTGAGTACCACCCTTGATTTATAGTACTGTTTCCCCCATTAGCAAATTCCTTGCACTCACATGACCTGTCTCTCACCTTGGGCCAATGCGCCTGTGCTTTGGTGTTTTTACATGTACCTTAACATGTACAATTCTGCTAATTGAACATCTGAAATATTCTTCTAATGTGTCTCAGGCACATATACTCATAGTCTTCCAACGGCTTACTCAACCCCCTCAATCCTTATTTTCTATCTACCATTGCCTGAGTCACCATGAGTGCCGATGCATCCGACGACGAGGTGCCAAGTCTCATTGAACCAGAAAGCGCCACCAAAGTCATAAATGACCAAGATGATGAAGTTCCAAACCTTGTGGGTAACTCAGACGATGCACCACAGAAGAAAGTTCCCATCACCATAGTCACTGGATATCTCGGCGCTGGCAAAACGACTTTACTCAACTATATCCTGACTGAGGAACATGGAAAGAGAATTGCTGTCATTCTAAATGAGTTTGGTGACTGTACGTATTCATTCTTCACCACTCGGACTTTTTATTAACATGAAAATAGCAATCGACATTGAGAAGCAACTCACCGTCTCTGATGCAAACTCCACATCCGCCCAACCAGCCCCTTTTGTCCCACTAGCAAACGGCTGCATATGCTGCTCCGTCAAAGACATCGGTGTCGCCGCAATCGAAAACCTAATGGAACAATCCGGCCTCTTCGACTACATCCTGCTCGAAACCACCGGTCTTGCGGATCCGGGTAACATCGCCCCCATGTTCTGGCTCGACGACGGTCTCGGCAGCAGCATCTACCTCGACGGCATCGTCACCCTTGTCGACGCCAAAAACGTACTTAAAAGCCTCGACGAAGGCCTCGGCGACGACGAAGAAAAACTTCAATCACAAAAGAACGCCCACGACCACGATGATCACCACGGCCCCTTACTCACAACCGCCCACCTCCAAATTAGCCATGCAGACGTCGTTATAATCAACAAAACCGACCTCGTCACCCCCGACGAACTCGCCCAAGTAACCGACCGCGTCCGCTCGATAAACGGCCTCGCCCGCATAAAGACAACAACAAAAAGCCAAATCCCAGACCTCCAGGGCCTCGTCCTCGACCTCCACGCTTACGACCAAGTCACAGAGTCTGATCTAACTTTTGCATCAAAAGGCCACTCCCACCTCGATCCCTCCATCGCTACGAGTACAATCACCTTCCCCACTTTATCCCGAGAGCAAGTAGACAAGTACGATTTCTTTCTCCGCACGCTACTGTGGGAGGAGACGCTGCCCAACGATGTTGCTCACAAGCCGTTTGAAATCCACAGGCTGAAGGGACGGGCGCCGGTTCAAGGGGGGAAACTACTCCTAACGCAGGGTGTGCGGAGTATCTACGACACTAATGAATTGGAGGGCGATGCTACGGAGGGGAGTACAGAGGGAAAGTTGGTGCTTATTGGGAGGGGAGTGGAGCAAGAGGGGTTTCGGGAGAGTCTGAGGCAAGTGTTGGGTTCGTAGATTTAAAACATTCAGAAGATGATGTTGAGAATGGAAAAGTTTATTTTATTTGATACATGTCTTCGCATCCGCCTTGTACTACGTCTTCTCCTTGTTCCTCTCGTTGGAGAGGAGCGTAATCGATTACCTCCCCCCCCCCCCAAAAAAAACGGAAACTCTGCATTCTCCCCCGTCCCGCAGATTACTCTACTCTACTGATACTACATACTATCCACACAAACCCAATGTCCCCTCATCGGCCCGATTCACATCCCCATCCCGCGCCTCTCTCGTCCATTGGAGGAAGAATTCCGCAAACCCCAATAATAAACCGCTTCCTTTGCTATTTAAAATGATTACTGTGTATATTTGCATGCGAAAACGGGGAAAATGGGGAAATGGAGAAATGGGGAAATGGAATGTTGGGAAGATAGATAAGCGGGTTGGTGCGTAAGTATGATGGGGAGAGACAGGGGGGTTTTTACGGGTAAAAAGAGGGATACTGGGTTTTGGTTGGGTTCGTGTGGTGGTGGTGGGGGGTTCGCATAGTAGTGCTATTTTGAAGTTTAAAACTTCTTCGAGGATGATTTCTTTTTTTTTCTGCTGAAGAGGTATGTGGTATCAAGGATCAAAGTAAAAATATAAAAGAAACGTTTGTCTTCTTTTTAGTGGGTAGGGTTATGAGATGGTTCGCAGATACGCCTAGGATACGTTAATCAGAGGAAATCAAGATGAATGTTTGAAGGGTTATGAGATGGTTTGGATGGAACTGTATACCATATACGTGTGAGTGTGGCTTCGTTGGCTCGAGGGAGTACCCGATGGATCTTTGAGGGTTGGCCTTTCTGGGGCTCCGGTTTGCGCTGGTGAATGGGTAGCCCCTACCGTACCCTATGGTGGGAGTATGGTAGTGGTCGCACGGGCCGCGGGTAGAGGTAGGGGTATGGTAGGGTTGCCAAGGGTTGGGTAGAGGTAGGGTAGGGTAAGGCAGATGTTACACGAGACCCTACTTCTACCTCTTTACCACAGTACTTCAGTTCAGAATATCATCATATTGTAATTCCCACATGTTCGGTCGTATGTACCAACCCGTAGTACATACTGCTACGATGCCATAGGAAAAATACGGACGTTGTGGCTCGGTTGTTGATTAGTACGTACACATCGTGCACTGCCGCTTCAGCTTCAGCCATCGATTTGTTCACAGAAGGACCAGGATTTAATTTCTACAGCCGGGCAGATCATAGAATCACTCTACTGATTCAAAATGATCGGCTCTGAGGACGTCTGGCCGTTCTGCGTCGTGAGCTTCGGCGGGTTTGCTGCGCTACCCCTAGTTATAGTATGTAGGTTACCTTGCATGAATTGCTATTGTTCAGACACGAGTACTGTTGTATTGTAATACTCTGATGATTCATAGAAGCTAACTAGTCACATGGGGCCGCCCAGCATACCTGGACCAAGTCCAATATAGTTCCCTTGAAATACCGTTCCACCAGAGACTGTAATAGCATCTCGATACTCGGAGCCATTCTGCACGATGCTCTGAGGCAAGTATTGTACCGGATCGGTAGCGACGGCACGGGATGCATCAGTAGTGGCTGGAGACCGTGTCCAACCGCCTACGCCCCCAAACCATCGACGTATCTCTGCAGATGCAGTAGTGAGCCACTGCCATTGACCAATCCCTGAGGACGGAGCTAGGCACAGTTCACCCTTATTACGTCTTTCTATTTCATGCAGCAGCCGGGTTCTAGCGTTGCTTCTTCCTTCGCCGTAGATGAGCGGAATGTGGAGATCAAAGAGGCCGAGGAGGCTATACGCCTCGTCCTCCTCACGTTTAGTCTGGCGCTTCTCTGCCCACGAGAGTCTTTCCTCAATCCTGAAGTCAGACAAGGGACATCCTGCCAGTGCTTGAATGGGAATGCCCGTTATTTCATGGATTTGTTGCTCCAGCGATTTCTTAGTCCCGAGTTTGGTGCCTTCGCGAGAGAAGAACTCGACCTCTGGGGAAGCAAGAAGCTCCTGGAGTGTCCAGCCTCGGGTGAACCATCTGCTGCTTCGGAAATCGGACTCCCATGTCTTCTCAGTATTGGCTGAGACGTCGGTGAGGTATACATAGCATTTAGCTGCGTGCTTGTACCAGCGGAACATTGAGTTGATCGCCTCTGAGAGCTCCGTGTAATTCGATCTATCGATGCAACAAGAGTCCACCCAGAAGTAGCGCAGGCCATCGCTAGCAGCTCGCTCCCCACAGAACTGTGTCTTTCTATACCCTGCTTTGTCTTTGCCAGTACCTGTCACTATGTCTTGCAAGGTGACTTCTTCCTCATCCGCCTCCCAGGTATGCGACAGTATCGCATACGGAGGCACTTCATTATGAAGATCTTTTGTCACGCTAAATTTGTCTTGGTTCTCAAACTCTATCAGGCGCATGGCTGGAGTGCAGCAAATGGTATTTATAGATAGTGGGATTGCGATAGCAGAGGGGATGACGGGGGTGTGCCGAGGCTATCGCCGCAGTAAAGTGGGTAGAGGCTCAATATACTTATGTATAGCAATAAGATGATCAGGCCACAAACCTTACTGCTTGCTTTTTTTTGGTAGCTTGCGTAGAGTACTGCTAGAATAAGCCTATTGCTCATCGGTCCGTCAGATGTCCCTAATCGTTCGCCATTGTAGCGTCACTCAAGCGCAGGTGCTACGTTGACTAATCTGCTGTGCAACTTTGACCTCCGAGACTTCTGGAGCATAACGAATGAATACCAGGACGGCAATGCTACGGATTTTATTGACGATATTGCTTTTCACAACTTGGGGCGGCCTCTCCTTCTGGAACTTTACTGATAATCACTTGATTGATTGGAAGTTCCTTGGTATTGATTCAACGAGGGAACACCTGATCCAATAATGACTTGCACCCTCTCGAAGGATTCTGTGTCGCATAAGATCTTAGCCATTCTACGTCCGCCACGTCACTAACTGTTGGACGTTGAACGTTAGCTGCGAGGCTGGACGCTAGCTGCAAGGCTGAACTTTAGCTACAAGGCTGGACGTTAGCTGCAAGGCTGAATTCTGGCTACAAGGCTGGACTTTAGATACTACAAGGCTGATGTTGTGGCGTTCTAGCCACAGAGAAACAACCAGCAGTATGTTTACACGCATGTCTAATCAACACCGTCTTTCTGCGACCTTTTTGGTTGTCCTATGAGCTCATGGTAAGCTGCATCAAGGACGGGTCATGTAGAGTGTTGGCGTCCGCTTCATTGCCTTCGTATGAAGCCTCAACGCTCATTTGTGCAGCGTCCGTTTGGGCAGAAATGCAAAATCTTGTCGCAAATGGGTATGTATATAAGATGTATAAAGACTGTTTTCTATCTATCATCCATCATCCATCACACCACAACTCAACACGATTATCCCTGAAAATGTCGTCTGGCTCTACGCATAAACTTCTCGGTGGTCCTGGCCAGAAGCGAAGCGATGTAACTCGGTAAGCATCATAGTAGCCTCGCCTCCGCATTTCACCAACGGACACAGTACCGATGCCACTATACCGCATCCTCAGTTAGCTCAAAATTCAGCCCAATCACCCGGCCTCCAAGTCACTCAAAGAGGTTCAACATTCGGAAAAGCTATAACGGCCACTGGAGATGCTTCGATTAAGGCAGGCAATTACGTAGATGGTGTCAAATCGGGAGAATTCGATCAGGAGGGATCAGCGTACCAGGATAATATCGTTTCCGAAGATAAAGCAAAAGTTAGCCTAGGCAATCATATGAATGGACAACAAAGTGGATAAATAAGAACAGGTAGAATTGAAACCTTATTCTCTTCGTCTATTTGTGGGGAGTATTGATCCCTGTGATGCGATTGCTCATGAGCATTGCTCTTTGGAGTCGAGCGACGAGAAATGCACATGATAGCATTTCAGATATCAGGACCTCTGATCGGAAAGAGGAGCCAGATCACAGCTCCAGCAGCTACCATACAAGTCTGTCGAGGTCCGCAGCCGACTCTAATGCCTTCAGGCAAATTGTTATCCGTGGTCACAAGGGCGACGGCTGCCAATTATTGCCCTCCCAGCCCGGGCTAAGCCGGTGACTCAGTGACTTGAGCCTGTTCCCGCCTGTTATTTCTTGGCCGAGCGAACTTAGGACAGGCAACAGCCGTACCATGATTTTCTGACGCATAAGTAATCGAATGCCTGTGAGTTCATGCAAAGCTCCCAATCTAGAATTCCCTTCATGTCGCCACGAAATCCGCCTGCGCAGCGGGAGAGCATGCGATCTAGCGAGGTGCAGATCCTCCAGGACGGGTCCTATTTTGGTAACACTATCGCGACGGATCAAGCAATAGTCTGCCAGGGCAACCTCTTTGGTAGCTTTCACAGCTCCAACTTTAGTAAGTCGCGCTCCAACGCTACTAGTAGCACCTTGCAGAAACTCCATGCTCACACCACCAAGGCTACTCAGTGGCGACTCGACATGATTTTACTGGCCAATTTGCGTATGCTGCGCTCAAGCCTGTCGAGGCGTTCGTCCCACGAAGCAGCCTGCACGACCAGATACACACGCAGCTTGCACGCGCTGCTACAGACAACAGCACTAAGACGCTCGTGGTGTGGGGACTAGGCGGGGCAGGCAAGACGCAACTGGTGCTAGACTACTGCGTGCGAAAGTATTATCGCGCGGAGTATAAGGCAACATTCTGGATCGAGGCCGGGCGCAAGGGGTCGCTGGAGCGCGACTTTGTGTGCCTGCACCAGACGCTGTTTGGGCTGCACACATTTGCTGGAGCAAATTCGGCGACGACGGTCAGTGCAGAGAATGCCGTGACTGGAGTGAAGACCTGGTTTGCGGGTCAGCAAGAGCGGTTACTAATGGTGTTTGACGGCGCCGATACAATTGAGGACGCAGAGGCAGATGGTTACATCGACATCCAGCACTTCATCCCTAGCGCACCATTTCTCGACGTCATCATTACAACTCGCAGCAGTATGGCGAGCGGCAGGGGGGTGCAGGTGAGCGAGATGGAGGCGGAACAGGCAGTTAAGCTATTTCAGAAGTATGCTCGCCTACCACGCCTCGATGAGACTGCTAGAGGTGAGGTGATGCGTATTGTTGCAGAACTTGGGTGTCTGGCATTGGCTGTCACGCTTGCTGCCACATATGTGGGATTAACGCCGCGGCTACAGAGCGACATCACCGAGTACCTACCTGAGTACCTGCAGCGACGACAGGAATTGCTTGAAAGAAAGCCGAGCCTGGTGCACCAATACAGCGCGAGCGTGCTGACGACGTGGGAGACGTCATACGCTGCCGTTGCCAGCAAGTGTATCGGGGCGGAGGTTCTGATGGCAATGCTATCATTCCTGAGTTTCGATGACATATACCCCGAGCTGTTCTGTCCCGAGACTGAGGAGGGTAGTGTGAAACAAACAGATGAGACTGGCGTAAACTGGAGACGCCTGGTCTCTCCGCAGCAGCCAGTAACCAAGTACATGATCGAAGATTGTTTTAAAGAGCTAGAGAAGTACTCACTCGTGCAGCGGAAAGCTAAGCATGAGGCCTATGTGATGCACAAGCTAGTGCATGCTTGGGGATACGGGCGGCTCGCAACAGAAGAGCAGGTCGAGTACAGTCAGGCAGCGTATGGGCTTGTCATGGAGGCGATAGAGGGTTGTGGTTGTGCACCAGACAACAAGCTTCGTCTGGTGCCGCATGTGATGGCCTATCTTGCCATTTTACTAAAACAGAAAGGACATATCGACAAGAAAGCAGAGATGCGGAAGAAAGTGATAAAGAAGTTGACGGAGATCTTAGGCCAAGAGAATCCTCACACAATTCGGGCTATAGAAAGCTTTGCCAAGACGCGTAAGGTACAAGAAGACTTAGAAGAGGAGGTGGAGATACAGAAGGAGATGCTAAAGATATACAAGCGTAACTATGGTAAAACCCATCCTAACACAATTGGGACGATGTATCACCTTACTCGCCTACTTAGACGGCAAGAACACCTAGAAAAGGAGGCGGAGAGGCAGAAGAAGGTGCTAGAGCAGCAGACGCAGAACTCAGGCAAAAACCATCCTTGCATGATTATAGCGATACATAACCTTGCTGCTACACTTAGCGATCAAGGATGCCTAGAAGAGGCGGCGGGTATCCAGAAGTTGGTGCTAGAGAAGTATATGCAGATGTTAGGCAAAGACCATCCTACTACTATTGTGGCGAGAAAAAACCTCGACATCACGCTCAACCGGCAGAAATCAAAAAGGTAACAGTGCTCCCATCTAAATACAACCGTGCGAACCTAACTATGGAAACCCCGTTAGCTCTCCCTTGATATCCTGGTGAACTCTACAGCCCAGCTCCAGCATCTGTTCGCAAGAGGAACAAGAAGTCCCAACACGGCTTTTCCGAACCCCCCCCTTTTATGGACATAGATGAGCAACCATTATTCTCTGCTGCACATTGTTGTTTACTATAGCAAGCTATCACAACGCACCAAGCTTTTATGAACAGCAGCCCTTTTAAGCACACATAGGTATACTGCCACCTAGTAGACAAAACATAAGTACTCCACATAGTAGGCCACCACCTACCTACAATCAATAGCACTTTAGAGAGTTAGCAAGATCTTTCAATTACTACTATTCTTCTACACGCGTCATCTCCACCCCATACTAACCACATCCTCAAAAAAAAATACCAGAAAGGCGCTACTAGTAAACGCCGCAGCTGACTATGCAAAGTAGTACATCCCAATCCGTACGTAGTACCCATGATTTTTCGTCCACCGGGTTGACTACTACTATACCAACAAAACGGAACGCAGTTCCGCACCCTTCTTATCGGCCCGATTCGCGTCCCGCGCGATAAGAAGTATGTGATTGGAGGAAGAATTTCTAAAGCTAACAACAGACGAAAGTGTGTTGAGTGATCAACAAAGAGACGGGAAGGAAAATGCTTGAATGGGGTGCGAAAAAACGATAAACATGCGTTTTGACTCATGTACCGTATGGCTTCTGGACCGTAGAGATCCTATTCGCAGTAGAGAAAGCCACACATTCAATGCTGATTCACATGTAATTTTTCTTCTTCATTTTGGGAGCCCAAAGATATGAATGATGATCAATGTGTTACTTTATTACGTACATAACTACCTATGTCCCACGTTTTTCCCAAGTTCATATATGAGCAAGAAGAAAGTGGTGGATTCATGGCACAGTGATTAAAAAGATTGATAATTGAGAAAATCCCAGATTTGCTAAAAAGACATGATGATATATCCATTTTTCATGCCCACCCCGACCGAAAAACATTGATCGTTATCGTTGAGGATTTTTCATTTCAGCGAGTGGAGGATAATACGTCCGATGTCCATCATAACAAACATTTATACGGCTTCCTTCTCAGTGCTGACGATCTTTGTCTCGTGCTCGACGCCCGAAGAGCCGTCTCCAGATAGAGCAGTGAGACCAAGCTCGCGGTTGATTTCGGCCATGCGCTCCTGATCCTTGAGGGCGGTTCCCTCGCTGCCGAAGATGGTGTCCATTTCCTCGAGGGTAAGACGCTTGGTCTCGGGGACGAGGAACCAGATGAAAGCTGCTCCGAGGGTAGTGACGAGACCGAACAGGATATAAGTTCCGTATGTGATGCTCTTGAGGAGATCGGGGGTGATTTGACCAATGATGAAGTTGTTCATCCAGTTGGAAGAGCCACCGAGAGCGGTACCGTATGGACGAGTGGATAGAGGCCAAATTTCTGCAGAGATGAATCAGTTCGGTGTACAAAACAGCTGCAGATGCAATATTACTTACCGGCAATCAGAATCCATGCACAAGGACCCCAGGAGTATCCGAAATGGATGACAAACAGCCAGACCATGACAACTGCAGCCCATCCAGCAGCCCTGTGGTTGTCGAAATCGTTGATGTTCTTGGCGAGAATGACAGCGATGACGAAATGGGAGAAGGCCATGCCGAGAGCACCAACAGCCAGAACGGGCTTGCGACCAAGTTGATCAATGTACAAGACGGCAGGAATTGCTTTAATCGTGTTAGTGCTGTAATTTCTTTATGCGATTGGAAGAAAACTTACTGGCAATAAACATGACAATTCCAACCACACCGGTAGCGAGGAGGGATGTAGTGTTGCCTACCAATCCAATCTGCTGGAAAATAGTGGGAGCATAGTAGAGAACCTATTATCGAATCGGAATTAGCCAAAGTCGGAGAGATAAATTCCGTAGAATCAATACGTACAGCGTTGATACCAGTCCACTGCTGGAAGAACATAGTGACGGTGGCAACGACGACTCGCTTGAACATGGCCTTGGTCTTGAACAACGAGGCGATGGCCACGAACTGGAGCTTGAAGATATTCATGGTAGTCTGCTCTTGGAGGTGAGGGAAAGACTCGGCAACAGTGCGCTTCTCAAACAGAGATTGTGCCTTGATTTCGAGGAATTCGAGCTCAATGAGCTCGTGGTCGATTGGCAGATTGCGGAGGGATGCGAGGTTGTTGCGAGCCTCCTCTTCACGGTCGTGGTGCATCAACCAACGTGGGGAGAAAGGCATCCAGATCATTCCGATGAGGAGAACGAAGGCTGGGACGAGTTGGAGGCAGATAGGAATGAGCCATGCTGCGTTTGACTGAGTCTCAAGAGTGGTGCCACCAATGTAGTTTGTTCCGTAGTTGATCCAGAAACTGATCATAATACCGAATGTGATGGCAAGTTGCTGGAGTGCGACGAGAGCACCACGGACCTCACTGTACCATGTAAGCATGCTGTTTTTATGGCTTGTGCGAACTGTACTTACGGAGGCGCGCATTCACTGTTGTACATGGGAACAATGGTGGAGAGGGCACCGACACCCATACCGCTGTGAGTTGTTAGTGCAAATATTCGAAGTTGTAGGTTTTATGCAGACTAACGTGATGAAACGACCAGCAAGAATTTCCTCGTGTCCACCGGCGATGGCAGTAATCTGAATGACAACACCGATAATGAATACAACGGTGGAGATCAAAATGCCGTACTTTCGTGAGGCAGCCTCAGCGATGAATCCGGACATGATGGCACCAAACCAAGCACCAAGTTCCAAAATGGCAGTCAGCCATCCCTTCTTGGTGGCGTTGTCAGTATAACCGTCGGTTTCTGGTATGTGTCAGTGCGAGTGTACATGCAACCGAGTGGTAATTACATACGCTTTCCAAACGAAGGCATTTGCAAGATACCACTGAACATGCCCTGGTTGTATCCGTAAAGCACACCACCAAGACAGGCAAACATGGCAATCAGGAAGACCTTTCCATTTTTGACAAGAGCCGCTGGACCACTCTTGCCCATGAGGGCTTGACGCCTTTGCAGCGCGACATCAAAGCCGGCTGTAGGAGCACCTCCACCAGCCATAGTGATAGTTGGTTGGTATTGGAAATGCGGGTGGTGTTTGGGAGAGGGCTGAGGAGAGGATGGCTGAGATTACCCCAGGTTATCGGAAATCTTGCCAACATGCGGTGCAGGCGCCATCTTATGTAGGATGCGGAGAAGGTGGCCTGCCCACATCACATATCATCCAGCATCCCGGTGATAGGATCATTGCAGCATGGAGCATATTGGTGCCACAATTATTCCCAGATCGGCGGGAGGCCATGACCGGTAGATGGTCTTTAGCCCTTTAAGCATACCAAGGCTAAACGCCTCTTCGGCTGCAGGTTTACAAGCAGTCAGACGAGGGCAGCAAGGCCAACAATTGGACACTAGCGACAATGTAATCCTCCGCGGTCCCCGCAATGCCCGTCCACCTATGTCGGTGTCGTACGCTCGGATCAGCGCCAGTGCCTCTTCCAGACGCAAATTAGCCTAAATGGCGGCCAGTCCGAGCAGCCTGAGCCGAGCAGAATAAGCTTTGAGGATGGCGTGCAACGGTCCTCATGGCAGATCCAATCCACGGGCCGCTTCCTGATAGGCGCGCCACGGGTTTCCAATCGTGGCGTTGTTTGGTTGTTGTCTGTTGTTGGAGGTGGGAGGCCGAACGCCTAGCAATGGCTAAAAGGACATGTTCATGTGAGCAAGAACTAGACCCAACAACAGTTGCCACTCGCCGCCATGCCACACAGCTATCGGGCCTCGGAGACGATATGCGAACGTGCTTCTAGCCTTTTGCTCATCTTGAATTCCGTGGAGCAATACGACCCATCCATCTCCGAGTGTGGTGAATAAGGCAAGGACGTTTAAAATTGTGCCGGTGCACCTCCGAGTCAGCGGTACGGCGTTGCAAATTTCAGCAGAAGGAAAGATAAAAAACGCAGGGAATGTTCCGCTTACGCCAGAAGTGATTTTAATATAGTTGATGCAGATGCAACGTGGGTAGGTGATGGAGAAACGGGGGCCCATGGGGAAAAAGGATGTCAGCGGACCCTTGCACGCCCCACGCGTTTCTCCTTCCTCACGCGTCGTACCTTCCACAACTCACACCAAGCAATACCAGCACCCACACCAACACCGAGTATCCACCCAAAGTACCAGCATCTTGGACAATCATGGCTGTTTCTATCTTTCAGAGGAAGAAGGACCTCGGGTATCTGGTCTTTTTCGTCATACACCTGCCGGTCATGCTAGGTAAGTTCATGAATCATTTCATCTCTCTTCAGATGGCCATGGGATCTCCTACCAGCATCACCCCGTGACACTAGTAGAAAAAACAAATTCCTCTCATCTCATCATCTTCGAAATCAAATATCCGCGGACTACCCACCGCATGGTTTATTCAGCCCTACCATCAACATGCTAGCATAAACCTCCTACGTGGCACAACTGCAAAACAATCAATTCCAAGAGAAAGGCCACCCCCCCTTCTCTCAACCCCTCAACCCCCACTGTTCCGAGGAAATTCATCCACAATCATCATCATTATGCACCTCCTTGCAAATCATACCCCAGCCACCACCCCGCTAACCCTAACCCAGCATTCGACCTGACAGGCTACTACCCCCTCTCCATCAAACCCACGTGGATGACCACTGTCCGCGAATGGTACGTCGCCACTTACGGTGATCGCTTCTTCTACGCCACCCCAACCTGGTTCTCCGTCGTCACTTTCCTCGAACTAATCTACCATCTCCCCGTCACCCTCTGGGCTATCCCCGCTTTGCTGCGCAATGACCCGCGTGTACCGTTGGTGCTGCTCGTTTTTGCCCTCGAAACGAGTATGACGACGCTCGTGTGCGTGTCTGAGATGCTCAGTTGGGAGGAGTTGACTCCGGCGCAGAGGGGGCTGCAGGGGTTGGGCGGTATGTATGGTGGGTACTTGGTTGCTGGTAAGTCTGAGGCGTGTGATAGGGGTGGTGAGGATGGCAATGCTGATGAGATATAGGTGTCTTTATGATGCTGGATTGCTATGCGAGGTTGGATCAGATGATTGCGAGACAGCATAAGGGTTTGGAGCCTGTGACTAAGAAGAAGCTGTGAGCTTTACAGTCACATGTTGCGTCAAAGATACATATGCATGGTATGAAGCATAAGAAGAGGTATTTATGGAATGCTTAGGCTATAGACTGATTGTCTTATCCTGTAAGAGATATTGGAATAACTCGGTAATGGCGACAGGGCATCACTGCGTGTGTTGAACCTTGTAGCTTGTGAGTGGATAAAATTGCAACACCTAACATAGAAAAGAGGAATAGACACAAGAGATCACTGTTCAAGAAAGCAACGTAATTTCGGTACACTTTACAATTCGACATTGTCCCTACGCCGTGTTCCATACAAGCATTCCAGAGAGCGCAATGCCATCTTCGACTCTAATACCAATACGAGAACCTCGCAACGTATAACCCAGCACCCAAACGCCATGACACACGAAAAAGCCGTTTTAACAACAAAATATGAAAACGTTAAGATATAACCCGTAACCCATAACCCAAAAAGAAATTCGTAAAAAAAGAGAGACACCCAGACAAGATACTCAGCCCTCAGTGGCCCACAGTAGTCCTTTTTTGTAACTTTCTTTCTTTTTTTCTTCTCCTTCTCCTTACCTTACCACTTAGTAGAAAATCCTAACCTCCTCCTTCTCCTTCTCCCCCTCCCCTTCCCTTGCCAACTGCGCCAACCTAACCTTCACCGCCTTCCCATCCTTGCCCTCAAACTCCTCCCCGTACCGCATAACGCACGTGAAAAGTACATTCCAGCCATGCACACCCGCCGCATAAAACGCCTCAAGAACTGCTGCCTCGCGGCTCCCGCACTTGATCAGCTTGTAAATATGCCGACCTTTGTAGTGCGCTTCTTGCGGGAACGTGTGGTCAGCGTCAAAAGTGCTGATGACGAGGCAGTACACAAGTGGCACGGTATCGGACTGTGTAAGCATAGTGCTTTGATACTGGGAGCCGCTGGAGCTCGCGGCATCAGTACCGCGAGTGGCGTCGTCGAGCAGCGTCGTCAGACCAGCCGAAGCCCAGACTTTAGGTAACTCAAGACTTAAGGGCTTTGCGTGGGGAACAGCGAGGACTTTGTCCTGAGGTATTGAAAAGGGCTCGGAGTCGATCTTGGGAAGCTTGGAGGCCGACGACTTGCTGGGCTTCTCGTACCAGATGCCGGTGTCTGCGTGGCGGAAGAGCCACTCGTATTCTTGGTAATCGGCGGCGTAGGCTTGGTGCCGCATGAGGAAGACATTGCGCCGGAAGGGCACGATGCGAACTATGTGGCTGGAGATGTCGTTGGTGGGGACGCCGAGGGAGCGGGCGGGGATGAATTGGTGGGCTGTGTTTACCTCCCATTCTGGAAGGAAGGGGAGGTGGTCGAATGACGCCGGGGGTGGAGGTGGAGGTGGCGGTGGTGGCGGTGGTGGCGGCGGCGGTGGTGGTGGAGGAGGAGGAGGAGGCGGTGGTGGCGGAGGGTGAGGCTTCAAGTGGTTAGAAATTGGAGATGGCAAAAGCAATATAGGAACATACTGATGGTTGGGAGTATGGATTGAAAGAGGTATGGAAGGTCATGGGCTGCATACTACTAGGTGGTGCTGACTATAATGTATTTAGCTATGTTCTTATGATTCATCAAAGACATAGTTGACTTACAGGTGGAGGAGGAGGGGGTTGTATAGCCTGGTATTGAACTGGGCTGATACGTTTCCCACCACGTTCTGGTATTCTGCGGCTTTCTGACCGTCCTAAACCGTTTTGCTCGGTATCATTGCGTTCTTTTGTGAGGAGAGGCTCTGGATTTGGATCGCCACTGGCTAGCTCTTTGTTTGCTTTTTTCACCCAGTGGTCTACAAACTGCTCATCCCGCTTCACTTCTGAGCTATGCCAGCCGCCTTTCATGCCTGAAGGGTGTACCCTCATGGAGCCGTCTGTTGAAGCTGGACTTGGAGCTCTGCGAGGTGGCTCGCAATTCTCATGTCCACAGTTGTCGAAGCAGGTTGATCTGGCGGCGGGAGAACGAGGATCCCACGCAGGCTCTCGGCGAGGCTTTGCTTCGGGACCCTGCGGATCAGTCGGATTGCCCTTGATGATTGATGAAATTAAACTCATTGACGGACCACTCTCAATGAGAACTATGTCTTCATCCATGAAACCGAGGATGGATTCGACAACCCTTGGTTTTGAGAGTGGTGACGAGAAGAAAGGTGTAGACTGTTCAGAGTTGGTATTTCAATGTTTGTAAGCAGCAAGTGGAGATTTGACACGGCAGAAGACGTGGCCTACAGTTCCCAATTAAATATTGGAAATTCGCGTTACGGTTGGTCCTACGTAGGCCATGGCTCAACGAAGAATACAACCCAGTGCCGAACAGGCTAGATAGCCCTGTTTGTCCTATGACGATCGCGTCCCAGGGTGCGTACGGTGAGGGGAATACACCCGGTGAGCTGGTAAGTCCTATGGGTGTGTGCCTCCGAGGAATTATCAGGACACGTCAGTAAGCCCCACGTATTCTGAAACAATGGCTGCCTTCCTTTGACATATGACCATATTCGTGCTCGGTTTACAAGACCGTTCCTTCTCATCAATTTCCAAATCTGTGTTGAGATGGCCTTACTGTAGGTAGATCAGTATCTTGAAGGCTTGCTGATCACTTCCCCATATTGTGGTAACCACAGATTTATTCCGGTCACACAAAAACTGAGAACATCAAAACAAAGCTGCAGATTCGCTTCATTGTGCAGAAGCTGAAAATTTTGGGTAGCCTACGTGTTACTGCCAAGGGCGAGCACTGACGTACATGTTACTGAATAGAGAACTTATGCAGTGTAAAGTAACCCGGACTTCCTAGATGCAGCGTACCCGATATTCGGGGGACTGACCGGCTGCAAGGTAGGCTCATGTGTGAGAAAGTTGCCCAAGTGGGAATATGTTAACACCTGTAAGCTCCGAGTGAGAATGTTGGCAGTATTTATATCTAGTAAGCGATGTTGTAGCACCATCCAGCTTCGAGCAAGATATGGCTGTTTAATCCTTCTGCTAAACGGGAAGTCATCGATCCCTGCAACAAACCGCGCTGTAATTTGGCCCGGGGAATTTATTGGACGACCACAAGATCAAAGGAACAGCTACGATCGCCAGGTGTTATGAACAATGTGGCTCAGTCTAAGTTTCCGCTAAGGCAAGCCAAAAAAGTCTGGAGCTTTAGTTGCCAGCGCGGTAATTCATTAGCTGTTCATCTTCTCCACAAGTTCTATGAGCTGTCGTGTCAGACGAAATAGTCCGGCCGGTATTCTTACCCACTGGGAACCCCCGATAACTTGTAGCATTTTCCAAAATTTGAAATTTACGCCCTTTGGAGGATTTGAAGGAGTCGGATGATCATGCATTATTTAGCACATGTCTTAGGTGTGAATTCTGCAGGTTGCATGCATCTGCAGTTGCTACACCGCCTTATTGTGTCATCTGTGAAGATAAGCTGGTCGGCGGAGCGATGGCTAAGGAATAATAAAACATGCGGTTATAGAGAGCAGACTGAAGTGAGAGGGAATGAGATAACTAAAACCCGAGACCCACTTACATACGTGGCTGATGATACATCGGTGTATGTATCGTACACTAAGTACACATGGTAATGTAAGGCACAGAAGCGCTACGTAAGCGAAATGAGGCGACACCGGAAGATCAGTTCGATCTTTGCCTTATGTAGGCGGAGGAGTGATCTTGGGGCAACCAAAGAAACATGATGAGGGGACGCATGCCATGTTGAAATTAGATTGCCTTATCTACGCCCAGAGCGTGTGAAGCTGAAGCTGAAGCAAACCTCAGTAGCTCCATCTTGATTCGAGAAGAATTGCTGGGCATTTACGAGGGATGTGGTAGGTGCAAGTGTCCTGCGTGAACCAAAATTGATCTGCAGTAGATGGTTATACGATCCACAGAAGATGTCTCCGCAATAATGGTGTCCCAGACATTTACTCTAAGTGTAGAATGAAGCAATGGGAATATCGGCCAACCATAGTGCTTCCGCCGTAGACCCAATGGTGCAGAAACGACCGGACGTTGCCTACCTCTTAGACAACCAACATGCCTATCAAACATCCGTAAGGTTCCGAGGTTGAGTAGTGGAGTGCGAACATAATCAAAGGTGTGCGTTTAGCAAATGACAAGATGGTATACAACCACCATCACAACATGCACAAGCCCGGATAAGGCTAGTGCGCCAAGCACTCCGAGGCTTGAGGGCCGGCGTCATCGTAGTAGCTCAAGCTCACGTACAACTCCACACGAAAGCCATCAGCTCCGTCGCCAACTCGTCGTTGCACGCCGCCCTACAACGATCTAAACCCATACCGTTTCGCGTCGATAACCCATCGCGTCACTTCCCTACAAGGAACAGGCAACCCACGCGCATCCCCAACCGAACCGCAACCACAACACATCCAACAATGGCGAACGGGTATATACCACCCAACCCCGACCCATCCTATTTAAGCAAGACTAGGAAAAAACTAATACAAGCAGCTGGGCCCCCATCATCGGCCTCATCGTAGTCGTCATCTTCTGCGCCGCAGCCTGGGTTCTAGCGCCAAAGGGCGAAAACCAGACGTACGTTTACCGCACCATCCCCTCGTCAAAGACGGCCTCGACGCCACCCAAGCCCTGTCTGCGCAACAAAGTCTCGTCGCAGAATCTCAGTGGTGCTGCTGTTGCTGCCGTCGACGACCACGACGACAATGAGAGGAAGCTGCGCGGCAGCACACCGGGGACGAAGCGCGTACACTTTGCATATGATGCGGAGACGTGCGCTGCGTATACTGCTGCTGCTTCCGAGAGGACGACTTGAGAGAGCGAGAAACCGAGTTACAGCAAACAGGAGCATCGGTGGCTGGGGCCGCAGGCAGGAGAGGCAGATGGGGAAGAAAAAGGATACTTTTGGCTAACTTGGCTGCGAACAGGGTTTGGCGATCTACTCTTGTGCTTTCTGCAGCTGCCATGTACATCATGTGGGCTATTACTTTCCTTGCACAGCTTCATCCACTCATTTCGCCCGTACGAAACGACCTGCGACAGGAGTTAAACGGGGGACGCTAAAGGGTAATATATATATATGTGTGTGCACAATCATACGTATGGGAGGAGTGCAGTGGCTCAAGATAAGCTGGAGCGGGCAAGAAGTAGTATCAACGTATGCTGAGAGGCTGCGTTATACAAGAACGAGCTTTATGCTAAGGAATTGTGCCGAAAGGGAGCTCGACATACACGGTTGATGCTGAACATGTGGAATCTCGCGCGCATTTGCACATTTGGTTTGGCGCATTATGGAACACCTTCTTTTGCTTTTAGGCGTGTACGAATATCAAATGGGGTATCATATCATTTGCTTGAAAAACCACCGACACATGCATTTCCAGCTCGTACCCTTGTTGTCAAGACGAACTAATCACATTGCTTGCCCAACCCCAGAACGCACTGGCTACCGTCCATTCACTCAGATATCCTTCCCATCCTGTCCCCAGTCCAGCCGCTCGCAGTATCGACCATCCCACAAGCATCCTCATACCCGCCCCAACACCCACCAGTATCCCTGCTCTGAAATACCCACAATCCATTAAGATCTCCAGCGCCGCAATATTATTCACAATAACCGCCCAACTCACCGCCGTCGCTGAACTCGGCAAGTCGTACTCCCAGACAATCAGCAGTATAGGGAAAAGCTTCGTACAAGACGACACGAGCAGCGCCGTTGACAACGGCGTCGGATTGGGAAAATACGCAATGCACCTCTGCCACAACCTCCTCAGCACACCGGGCAGACCCGCAGGATTATACGCGCAAAGCAGACGAATCGGCAAGTGAAACGCCAGTGTCGACAGCGTGACTAGGCCAAGAAAAAAGAGGTACTGGAGGCCCAGCGGATACGCCTGGAGCACCATCGCATTCGTCACGCCGCTATGCGGGGCACCCAGCGCCGACGCATTCGGCGGTGCCGTAAAAGGTGATAGGAGGGGTGAATCAGCCGGCAGCGGAATCTTCTCGATGCGCGCCCATGTGAGGTAGACGTCGAAGAGGAGGAGCAGGATGCCGAGGCGGAGGATGGAACGCTGTTTTTTTCCCCTCTACATTAGCATATACCTTTAGACTCACAAGCACCACCGATCATCCAGGCGCATATATGTATATGGCTGATGTGTATGGGTATGTGAAGTTGAGGAAGGAGAGAAATACATCAAACCTGTCATCCCCCCTCTCCAGCCGATTAAATAGTAAATGCCGGTACACCTCCGCTTTGATGAGCACGAGATCAATGAACAAGACGACGAAGTCGTGCTCGACGTATTTGTCCGCGAATTTCTTGCAGTGCGGGCATTGTGTTAGGCGGACGCCTTTGCCGAGGGCGCGGTCGTCGGCTTTGGAGTAGGTCGTGTAGAGCGTGCGGACGGGGGTGCGACAGGATATGCAGATGGGCATTGTGTTTCGGGGAGGTGGGGTTTGGTTGTAGTGATGATGTTCGAGAAAGATGGATGTTGGGGTTCACATTGTACGTGTGGGTGAGGTTAGAGCCGAGGAGAGCTGTTGTAACGAGTGTTATTGTATTGGGGATTGTAGAGGATGGTGATGATGTTTGGGGAAAGTGGCTTTGGCGGGGATTAATGTGGAGCGAGTTACTTATCTCCGATGCGCTCACATTCTTTATCACTAGCATTCACGGCTCCAAATCACCATTCCCTTTCCAATTGCAATAAGTTTGATTCAGACAAAAAATGAGTTAGCTTGGATTGTGATTCTGCCGGCCTCTTCTTTATGTCCTGAGAAAAATCTGGCTATAATCACACTCATGCTTTTGACGCCAGTGTCCCCTCCCTATACTGATGATACACCTATTCAACGCCTCGCGCTGCAAGAATGGTAACGCACAAAAAAACCCAAATATACAATCATCGTTCCCGTATATCTTTGCAACCTTCCAACTGCATCTCCTCCGCCATATAGACATTTAGCGAGCAGCTTCCTCGACAACAGCGTTGATGTCGCGCGCCCTCTGAATCCATGACTGATCATCCATATCTCGTCCAAGAACATCGCTGCCCAGGATGATGCGCATAACATCGGCCAATCCAATTGCGTTCTCAGGTCCACCGAATAGCGCGCCTGTTCGCCGGCTGACGGTGGCCCACTGCTCGACGAGGTAAATGATCCACTTGACGAGCAATTTGCGGTTGCGGCCTGCGAATGGCGGTTCCTGCGCGTACCATAGTGCCTCGAGCGTAGCGACCAGGCTCTCAAACGGTGCGTTCAGCTTGAGGAAAACGTCAATTGGCCACGTAAGGTTAGCATTCAGTGCCAGGTTCTGAGCGTTGGGCGCGTTGGCGTCATGGACATAGAACTCCAAGTCATACTGCAGGACTAGCTGCAAAACAATATTCACAGGGAACACGTTGTCGTTGAGGTTGGTGCGGTGGCCAAGATCCTGGACTTTCAGTGCGACAACCTCCCAGGGCGCGGCCTGGCGGTCGGCAACAGCGTTCCGGTGGGTTTGATCAATCAGGTTGGTCCACGTTGAGCGAATGTCCGGTACGCTACGGTAATCGGCGGCATGGTAAATGAGGAGGCAGATATCGTAGTAACCTGCTTGGTCGGCGTAATCATGGTAGAGCTAAGGGCATGTCAGCAAACGCATTTTACATATACCAAAAGAAACTCACCTCGTCAAGAGGATGGATCTGGCCATTAAGATGCTCAATGACGTCTTCCCTCCGCTTTCCAACAAGTCGCTCATCGCCCTTGATACGCTGCAACACATCGTCTTGGATGTTGGCAATATCAAGATGATCGCTAATGTTTCGCAGCAATTCTTGCCTGGTCTGGCGATTGCGTACTCCTGTTTCCGAAAACCCAGTCATACGCGTTGAAGCATTCGCCTTGGCCCGCGACAGGTATTCTATCCTCTTTTCTAGTGTTAGAGGTAGGGTACTCTTCGCAAGCTGGAACTGTGTCTCCGCCGCACTTAGGTAGTCGTTGTAATGAGCGTAGTAGCGCCACAGCAGATCCGCGTGAGCTAGGTTCGTGTCAGAGCTCTGGCGCAGATATTCGACTACGAACGGAGAGTTGATCTCCAGCAATCGCTCGGCCCATCCGTTCTGCATGTACCAGTCGTACAGGTAATTTTGGAAGACTTCGTCGTCTGAGTTGTTGATTTGCTCGTACGCTTCATGTTTGCGACGAGTGACCTGGGAAATAACACCATCAGGCACAGGCCCTTGGGTGTTGAAGGCATGGTCGACAGCCTCGATCACATTGCAAACGAGGGTGTAACAAGAAGCGCGCTGTTCATAAAAGTGACGTCGTGGATCGCTTGCATCGCTGACATGGTCACGGGAGTCCCGCACCCAAGATAGGGCTTTGTTACCTCGGTCCCACTCTTGAGCGACTTTGAGGGCAAGTCTGATGGCACCTAAATCATGTGTCAGTAAAATTCAAAATATACAAGTCTAGTCACCTTACCAGCATAGAACTCAAGCTGGATGTACTGATCAACAGTGGCAGCCAAATTCTCATAGCTCAGGCTCTTCGCCACTTGTTCGAACAATCTCAAGCTATCATTGAGCAAGATACGTCCACGCTCAGCATTTGCGCCCATGTCAGCTGCCTTCTTCAAGCTCTCCTGAGCCTTGAAGATGACCACATCATCCGAACTACAAAAGCTGCCACACTTCCTCCGGAGGGCCTCAGCAACTGACTCGACATTTGAACCCTTAGTAATGTTGCGGTTAACAATAGCCTTGACCAACTCCCTGGCAATTTCCCTGCCCTCTTTGACGGAGAAGAGACCCTGGAAGGTGAGTTGACGAACTCTTGCTTGGAGCTGGGGGTCTGCTAGCAGGGCCAGAATGTCCTCCAAACGCTCCTCGAAGAGCACTAGAACAAAAGAGATGCCTTCGACAATGTTGTTGACCATTTGCAACAAGCTAGTGAGTGCTCTGTTCTCGCCCTGGAGCTCAACCTCTTCTTGCCGCGATGTTGCACGCCCCAAAGCCTCTGGGCCGGCCAGTCCTTCAATGAATGACTTGTTAGATTCCAAGAATTCCTGAAGTTGGGCCAAACAACGCTGTACCTCCTGCAACTTGGTGATCTTGTGAGTCGAGGTAAGAGCCGGCCCAGTTGGAGTGACGGTCTCTGTGATGATGGGACTGTTCCAGATTGATCGAACAATGCGCGCAACATACATGGCGATACCATCGTGTCGTGGTGATGCGCGGACGTTCTCTACGCTCAGGCCTTCTACAGTAGCACTCTCTGTAAGATGCGCCTTGCCGCCAAACTCAATGAACACCCTACGAGCAAAATCAAGCACTTCGGGATCCGTGACTTTGGCAATCCTTGAATCTGGTCCAACATCTGACCCTTGACCGCAAGCAACAGCCAAAGCTGTAGCTGAAGTTTCAGCCAGACCATATTGCTTTGCGAGCTTACGAATATCAGCTTCGGCACCCTCGGGGCCTCCACTCTTTACAATGGAAGCAAAAATATCCACCAGTCTTCTGCGTCGAACAGTTTCGATGCCGTTCGATGTGATGATGGCGTATTCGCACAGCGGCTTGTCAAATTGGGTGGCGAGCTCATTGCCAAAGCCGAGAGGTTCGTTCCTTGCTGAGAATGGTTCAGATGCCAGGCCGATGTCTTGCACTCTTCCTACGAGTTCTGTGAACAGGCCAGTTTCGGTGTATCGCGGAGGTTCTGAGCTTTCCCTTTGACCCAATAGTCCGGAGTGGGGCGCGGAAACAAACATGTGATGATTCGGGTCGTTTGGCGACCTAAGGACGAAAGAGAAGAAAGCACCAGGAGGGTATCTAATTCCAAGTTTAGTTTCTCTCAACCACCTCGATTCAAAACCGACTGTTGTGCCTCCTTGGTATGGCTGTACTTGGGTCGAATTGCTCTGGGCCGAGGGCTGGCCGTCGTTTGGCGGGAACCGAATGTGTCGTAATTGCATGCTACTTGGCGCACTTGTGTTGTTTGCGCTCCATTGACCTCCAGACGTTGTGCTCAGGTACAATCTACAGCCTGACGAAGTGATTGCTATTAGAGAGAGATTGTCCGCCTCTGTGCTAGAAATGGGACTCAGACTGACAATCTGCATCTTGTCCAGCACGCCCGTCGGTCGTACAATGTGCCCACACATGGTCTCAATCTGTGTGCGTGTTCGAGTCAATGCGCTCTCCAAAACGTTTGGCGCACGCATGTAGTAGACCTTGATGGTTCCGTTGGTGGAGAGCGTGTAGAGGACGTTCCGGGTGTCGTCAATGGCCATCTGCTGGATACCAGCTTGTCGCGTCGTCCCGTAGAAGGGCAGTGCCGGTAGGCCGATAGAAGTGGTAACATGGTTAGTCTTGCTGCATTTGCTGGAGAACCACTTGTCCTCTTGTTGGTAGTTGAGCTCGTATACATCCTCTGTTTGTCCATCACCAAAGAAGATGCGCCCTGTCGTATCTGAACCAGCGATTGCGGTCACATTGATCTTCCTGACTGACGTGGACAATCCTGTCCGGTACATTGTGATACCGTGCACTCCCTCGGACCCCCGTTGACACTCTACAGCAATCAGGAAAATGTCCGACACGGTTGCGACGACAAGGAGGTACTCGATGGAGGGCACGAAGACACCGGCACGCGGCTTGACCAGCTTCACACAGGTAATGTTGCTGGGTTGCTCTTCAAAGCCAACGAGCTCGGGGTTCGGGTGCGTGTAGTCCCAAAGATAGACCTGGTTGTCAACTACAACCCAGGCGTGGTTGATCTCGGCGAACAGGCCCATGCTTGTCGACATTTGCGTATGGTCCACCTGCTCGAAGACGGCCTCGGGGAGCTTATACGACCGCAGTTTTTGAAAAGGCGCCCATGCCGGACCACTCGGTATCTCATATTCACCAGAGATACCCTCTGGACCATTTCATTAGCATCTCGACTAGCCTGTTCTGCTGCTGCCAGCTACTTACGTCCGATGTATGCCTCGAGGGCTGGGAATCTGTTGTCTCTGTCCAGCATGCTGTTTATAGTCCGCGATGCGCGATCGATGGGACTCTCTGCTGGGGGTGCAGGCAGCACTTGCTGTTGCTGCTGTTGCTGCGACTGTGGTTGCGACATGGAGCCTCTCCGTGCAAAGCCAGGTCGGTTTGGAGCCGGCGTGTTGACAAAAGCGCCGGGGGTAGGTCGCTGCGGCGTCGCGGGCGCCATTTGAAAAGCCATGATGGGCAGTGTTTGTGTCGTGTTAGAAGGCTGCGCTGCGCTGGTCGCGGCTCGGGGAAGGGCGAGCTTCAGGTGGAGGTTGGGGGAACGCGCCGGGAATACGACGTGCACATTAGCTGCGCGCTATTACTGAGGGGGCTAAAATGGCAAGGAGACGCGCAAAGAAGAAGATTAAGCAAGAGGATTGGAGCGGTTCGCGACGCTGGGTCTCAGGTACAAGCTGCAAAAGTGACGAGCGACAACAAAAGGTTGTGCTTGGCAAAAGACCAGGATCAGTAGTCGGACTAGTTGGGTCGCTCGCGTCTGAGCGCGTTTTTTGTCCCCCCCCCCCAAACTTTTTTGGTCCCCATCGCCCATTGCATTGTCCAACCGACGACGCTGTTGGATACAGTCACTGGCCTTGTTCAAAACTACATCTACCGGCCATGTCGCTCTTCCGTGCTACGCTGCTGCAGAGGCAGCTTTTTGCTCCTACTCGCATTACATGTATCCGCTATGCGTCTACTTCGACGCCGGAGAACACTGTACTACCTCGCCTGCACACGGATCTCAAAATCGCCATGCGGTCCAAGAACAAGCCAGCATTGAACACGATCCGTGGACTGCAAGCCGAGATCATCAATGCCTCCAAGACGGCCAAGCCCATCACCACTGATGGCGCCCTCTACTCGTTGATCCAGAAGCAGATCAAGGCTAGCTCGGCATCCATTGAAGAATTCCGGAATGCCAAACGGGAGGATCTGGTGGAAAAGGAGCAGCAGAACTTGGACATCCTCAAGGCGTATGCCGAAGAGATTCCCACTGTCAGCGAAAGCGAGGTTGACTCGCTGGTGAAGAGCGTGGTGGAGGGACTGGAGGAGGGCAAGAGGAACTTTGGCAGTGTCATGGGCAAGGTCATGGGAGCAGTCAAGGGCCGGCCGCTTGATGTCGAGTACGTGACGAAGAAGATACAGGAGGCTGTGGGGGCAAAATGAGTCAGGTGATGAAGCTACTACGAACAAAACGGCCGGACGACTTGTACGAGTACTGTATGTGTATGAAACGACATAGATTGCAGACACGGCTCTTCATGGTGAAATGGGGCAGGTCGAGACTCGGCTGGGTTTCCATATGGTGAGGATGTGTTTTGGACAGCAACGTTTGTCCGAATGCTGCATGTGTTGATGCCCATGGTAGTTGGGTTCGGCAGCATCCGCGTGTGAGCTGGGGGGACGGGGCAGTGGCGACAGGCAGTTCTGACAGACGGTTCTGACAGACGGTTGTTCCCTGTCCAGCCGCCGCCGTGGGCCGACGATAGATGTTGCATTGGGGTTGTGGCTGAGGGAGGGCTAGTACTGAGTAGGCGGATGACTGCGCCGCGGCCCACGTGCATGCCCGGCCAATCTTCCAAGGTTGGTGGTCAGCATGACGTCACTGGCAGCCAACAACCTCGTTGCTCATCCGGCCGACATGGCTGCCATCCAATGCTGAGCGCATTCACGGCTTGCCTGTAAGGATAGCCTGGGCACAACCCATGCCTCTGGAGTGAAAGGACGCGGTTCCTGTCTCTGTTTGACCTCATGATGCGGCAGCCAATGCAGCCATGCCCGCAGCACAGCCGACATGCCCAACGATAGCGCCCAAGTCTTGTGCAGCTCCCATGAAACTGCACGACGAGTAACGCAGTGACAAATGAGAGACTAAAAAGCCTCCAGGGGGACATGGCATCCACACATGGCACGGTCCAGCGACCAGGCCAGAACGCGACAGAAAGGCCTCCATGGGCGGGCGCCGATGACGAAGCCTGTCGCGAATCCTGCATCCATAGCCGGCCGCACCCACACCCTCACTCTCCAGATCATCTGGGACCTAACTCCTTTATAATCCTGCTAATCCACTTCTCCCTCCCCCTCTCATCCTCTGCGTCACTGATTTGGCTCTCGAGTACACACTCTCGTTACGTGTAGCCAGCCTTTGACGTGGGACACCCACACACGTACATCTAAGGCCGATAGCCCCGCACTATTCCCTCTCGCACAACGTCATCGCCCGCAGACCAACAAGCCACACAATTCCCCTCAACCATGTCTGTCTACCGCTCCTCGACCGGCAACTTGGATCGCTTTGAGGAGCCTCCGCGTGGTGGTGAAAGATGGGACCGCGACAGATTTGAGCGTATGCGACGAGGCGCCGGTGGTGGCGGTGGTGGTGGCGGCAGTGTTCGTGGTCGCCCTGATGATTACGAACACTATCGCTACCAAGAGCACGACCGCTACCCTGGAGGCCACCGCGATGTCGACATCCATGAAGATCGCGCCCGCCGTGGCCCGGCTGTCATAGAGAGAGAGCGCTTCCATGAAGATGAGCGCTACGACCGCCCTCCGCCGCGTCGTGCCCCGGCCGACTTGTTCCATGAGCCCACACCGTCCGAAATCGCCAACCAGGCTCTCGCACCCTACCGCCGCAGGTCGGTCATTGATAGGGACATCGACATCGATATTGATATCAACGAACGGCGCCATGTTGCCCGCCCATCTAAGCCCTCCCGCCCGCAGTATATCCGTCGTCAATCGTCTCTAGACACTTTCGACCGCAAACCCATGCCTCGATATGGCGATGTCGAGAGAATCGAGAGATATGAGACCCACGAATACCGCCCACCAGCCAATGTCCCCATCCCACTACCTATCCGGGAGCGTCGCAGGTCACCTCCTCGCCGCTTCCATGATGAGGACGATTTCGAGGAAATCAGGTTCGACGACCGCAGCTCAAGGGGCCGGGAACGCGAGGACTACCGCGAAGTCGAAGTTCACCGCGAGAAGAGCAGAATACGACGAAGCAAGAGCACTGCCGCAAGATCGACGCGCAGCTCTTCAATTTCTAGCTTCGAAGAAATCCAGCCTTCCCGAGCAACCTGGGGCAAGAAGGGCAAGACAAGACTCCCTAAGCGTCTGGTGAAGAAGCAAGCCGTCATCGATCTCGGATACCCGTACGAAGAAGAGGTATGTCACTCATTTATATATTTAGACCGCTGCTGACTGTCATAGGACGATTTCATCATCGTCACCCGGGCGCTCGAGAAGGAGCACATTGACGAAATTATCAAGACCAGTGAATCTTACAAAGAAGGTGCGGATTTCACACCCATCTCAAGGCCTTGTCTAACAATCTGCAGAGAAAATCACTTATGTCTACGAGGAGAACGTGGAAGAACCTCCACCACCACCGGCATCTGTTGCGCCGCCAGCATCAGTCGCACCATCAGTTGCACGACCAGCATCCGTTGCGCCGCCTCCACCGCCACCTGTAATTGAAGTGCCTCCTCCACCACCGTCTGTACACGCGCCGCCTCCACCTCCTCAGGTTGTTTATGCCCAACCTCCCCCACAAATCATCTACGCCCAGCCGCCCCCATCTCACCATGCTCCAACTGTCTACGCACCATCAGAGCGTGCTCCATCCCCATCAATCCACGAGCACGAGCGTTACGTAGAGATCGACCGCTCAGCTTCTATCCACGGCCCAGCCACCACCTTCCTTCCCGAAGGCCGCCAAATCGTCCGCCGCGACGATCGCCGAACCGAGCGCGAGATTCGCGAAGAAATCCGCTCGCTTGAGGAAGAACGCCGGATGCTCAAGTATGAGCGCGAAGGCGACCGCGAGTACGAATTCGTTGAGCGCGCTCCCAAGAGGGAAGTCATGCGCGTCGACAGAGACCGAAAGGGTAGGTTAGCCCTTGTTCGCTCGGCCCATTAAAGAACCACTTCGTTGATATGTATTTTTCCACGGTTATAGTTGTCATCAGAAAGGATCGGCCAAATCCTAAGATCGTGGCCCTTGCTATGGGCGCACTTTCTTGAGCTGCGGAGTTCGACGCTCACTTTCTCCCACCCACCTCGGAGCTGGAGGCACGCCTTTCAATGATATCCCCGACGAACTCGGACGACCTTTTTGGAGCTTTCTAGAAGAATGATGGGCTATGCTTTTTTCATTATTTACGGCTAGATTTTGAGAGATTTCTCTTCCTGTCTCCTTTGTATATACCATGTGGTTTCTCTTTTCTTTTTTTTCTTACTCGGTTGATCCGAATGGCGTACACGATAAAGGTAATGCTCATAACGAATGTCTCGGATACGTCCAGAGACGAGCAAAGACGAAACTTGTGTACGATTAAAGAGAACTTTTAACGAATATCACGAATGTCGATGATTAATTATACCGATTTTTTTCATGATTGGCCTACTGGATCCATTGTGCTATGAGAGCCAAGTGAACAGCACCAATGAAGTAACGTTGTGAGATACACATGCCATCTGTACATTCCTAACACACCAAGTGAAGACAATCCTTTATCTATCCTGACCATTTCTCAAAAAAGCATACCGTGTCCCTTGGAAAATATCTAAAAGCATGACTTCCCCCCCATTTTCAGCCAACACTCTTTTCCCTCAATCACAGTAATGAATCCCTATCCAATCTTACAGTAGTGTATCAATCTCTCCACCCCCTACAACAACAATGATAACCGCCAACCCCCACCTCTCTCACAACGCCCGCGGATCAACCTCAACCACCGGCCCCGTATACGACTTCTTCGCCAGCACCACATAATACAGCACACTAAACGCCGCCACACCCCCCGTCACCACGCCCGCCCAATTCATACTCGTCAAATCCGGATCCGGCTGCGTAGGCCAAAAACTAAAGAAAATAATGAGGAAGAGATACGCAATCGCTACTACGTTGTTCGCTACGCCGAGTGCGCCGCGGAGACGCCAGGGGCCCCATGATAGTCTCTTTGCTTGCATGTCTGTATTTGTTGGTGTATCTGTATCGGGACAATCGTCGAGATCGCCGCGGAGACGCCGCCAGAGGAGTAAAGCAATGGCGAGGAGGTAGGAGAGGTAGAAGCCTTCGAGGACGAGGGATATGGTGCCGTTGAAGGCGGTGCTGCTGCCGATGTTGATGAGGGCGAGGAGGGCGGCGAAGAGGGTTACGATGAGGATGGATATGACGGGGATAGTGCTACGTTTGTCGATCTGGGGGGTGTTTTTTTTTGTGAGTTTTACATTTTATGCTGATGAAAGGGGGTAAAGACAACGTACCATGCTTAGGGCTCGCGAAAAGGGCAGGCCGCGATCGCGTGCAAAGGACCAGGTCATGCGTGATGCGGCGGCTAGACAGCCCATTGCACTGCAGAATTCGAGTAGTACGATGATGGAGACCATGACTGTGGCGCCGGCTTTTGAGCCGACGGCGTGGTGGAATATGCGGAGGAAGGGAGCGGTTTGGGTGTCTTGGTCTTGGAGTAGGCGCGGGATGTCGTCGGCGCTGAAGAGGACGGCGAAGAGCATGCCGAGGGCTAGGGTGCCGTTTATGGCGAGGCTGAGGAGCATGGAGCGGGGGACTTCGGTGCTTGCGTTTTTGACTTCTTCGGACATCTTTTTTTGTCGTTATTAATGTGGAAAGAGTTGGGATGTTGGGTTTCTCTAAACTTACGTGGACGACAGAGTCAGTTCCGACAAAAGCCAAAGCATTGCCTTGTAGACCGACAAAGAACGCCAATATATGGGTGCTCCACGCGCCTTCATTGTGGAATTTCGAGAAAATATCTTTGGCCGAGTTGTGTGCTGGCGTGAGGTAAACCAGTGGGATGAGGATACCGAAGAAACCAAGGATATGGACGATCAGCACAAGAACTTCGATGGTGGGTAGCGCGCCACTGATGAATACGTTGATGAAGACACAGAGGAGTAGGAGAGCCCATAGAAGTAGTGTTCCATGCCATCCTTCTCTCGCATAAGCCCCGTCGGCATCGTTCAAACTGACGAGTTGTAGGATAAGGTCGGCAACAAAGTAGCATACGGAAGTTAGAGCTGCAATCCACCCAATGACCGTGAGCCAGCCTGCAAGAGTTAGAAGCTTGCTGGAAATGTTCCCAAAACCGAGCTTACCTGTCACATAACTGAAGAATTTGTTGCTTGACTGTGGTGCCAGCAGCGACACCCAATGGTATTGACCTCCAGCCGTCGGTACCGCACTAGCCAGCTCCCCAATGCAGATAAACACGGAGAAGTTACCGAGCCAGATGAGTATGAAGCCGTATATAAGACCGGCAGGTCCGCCGCTAAACCATAACAATCAGTTTGCCGTCAAGTATGCAATGCGTAACCGAGGTGTCTTACTTACTTGTTGAAGCCTATTGAGAAAACACTAAAGTAGCTGGCGTCAGCATAAAGATATCTTTTTCGTATTAAATTTCCCATAAGCTTACACGAGCAGCGTCTCCCAAGTACACATCAAGCCGCATGACAGACCGGTCATTGATACCAACCCAAAGCGACGCTGTCATGAATCAGATGGGAATATGTAAGAATGCTTAGTAGGTCGCTTACCTTCAACACCTGCTCCTTTCCCACTCTCGCCAGCTCATATCGATCGCGATCGAACTCCTGGCCTTTGGATCCCGCCATCAAGCGTCTCTCTCTCGGCCTTATCACACCCTCATCGTCAACATTCTGGAGACGAATCCGTTTCTCCATGGCGCCAGGAAGCCGCGATAGACTAGGGCAGACAATCCGCAGCAGCCGACAAGAGATAGACAAAGGATAGTCCAGAAAAAGAATTAACAAAGGCTGTACGTAGGTACCGTATAACCCCACTAAAATCTGCACACCAAACCTAAAGTGAAAAAGTATAGAAGTTCAACTCCCAACTCTCAACCCAACCCGCAACCAGACCACCCCAAGAAAAAAAAGACCGCCAAAACTCACCCTCTAAGGACAGCCCGCCCCTACTAGCCCCAAAAGAAAAGGAAGCACGGATCCGTCACACAAAGCCAGACTATATTCCCCCAATGCAGCCCAATCTCAATCCACGTCCTCTCGCTCTCTCGCAAAACCAGCCACTAAACCGCCAGCAAGCAGCGCCCATGTACTCGTTGCAGCAGCGTGTCGGGGGATGGGGGCTAAACGGCTGAAAAGAATACGGAACCTGGAAGCCAAAATACCCGCGTACATCTATACATGCGCGCATGCAACGTACGCAACTTTGTCGGATTGCCTCGGTCACCAGCTCTGCAAACTACCTACTTACTTACTCCACACACACACACACACACACAAAAAAAAAGACACCCCCTTAATAGCAAATGGGAATACGAGGGAAATGGTAGCTACGTATGCCAGACCACACAGTCGAAAGTGGGAAAGAAAAAAGAGAGAGGTGTACGCGTTAAAGCCGCGCAAAACGTAATACCCTCCATCCGCACCGTACCGTACGGAGGCTAGTTGCAGTGACGGCGGGTACTCGACATATTACACTGCAGGAAACACACCCCCCTTGCTGACGCTCTTGGAGGGTTACAGGGGTATGTGATTGGTTGGTTGAGGAAGCCAAATGTGCGGAGTACGATGGTGGGTGGGGTTGGTGCTGGGGGTGCGGATGCGGAATGCGGTGGTGTGCATTGTGAGGTTCCTATTTGAGTGATGGGCCGAGGAGTTTTTTTGTTCCGAGAAGGAAGAGGGAGTGATGTGTAGTTTGGTCGTTTTTTGGAGGTTTGGGGATGGTATGGGGGCGTTGCGGGTGGGAGGAGGGGAGGGCAAGGTTGTATGGAATGTGCAGGGGTGACTGTGGAGAGGTGGTCTACGCTTCGTAGGGTGGTTTTTTTGGACTACGTGCTATACTACATGTTTTAGAGGGGAGAAACATATTCTACTCGACGTGTAACTGTAACCTCACCCACGATACATCATCGTGATCTGCTCAAGCTTGTAATCACATCTTCACTAGTCACCGCTCCTAGTAGCATAAGAAACCCCCAACCGTAATACCAACGCCATCCAAGCCCTAAGATCCCTCTCCACACACTTGCCAGTAACACAACCCCATATCAAGATCCCCAAACAAGCATCTCAATACCCCAGCATGAAAAGGAACCCCATATTCTGCCAAAACGCCACTTCCCCACCCATCCATAGGCACCCCATTCCCCACGTGGAAAAGCCTCCCTGCTACAACCCTCACACACAACACCATGCCCTATCCACTGTGAATCCATACCACACATGAACACCGCATTCACCAACCTCATTCGCCACCCCCCAGCTTTCCCTCCCTTCCTCTAAACTAAATGTCTCGCCCATCCCATCCCGCCTACCGATCCATCCAAGTCAACCGCATTAACTCACCTCGCAGACATAGTTCCACCACTTTCACAACACGGGAACCTGCGTGAAACGAAGTCGCCCGGTTTGTGCCGCCGTACGCGGCTGTAGAACAGACAGCGTACTGCCGTGTGTGCCACGGCCGTTGCATCGACTGCGCAGTAAGGTGTGCGGACTCGGCTTGCTCGGCTTGTGGGGTTTGTTTTTATTATATGCGAGGGAGGGAGGAAGTGTGTGGTACGGGGGAGGATCTTGTTGACTTGAGCAAGTGTGGGTGAGGGAGATGGGTGGGCGGTGTTGAGATAATGTATGGGACTTGGGGCGTTGGGGTTGTGTCGAAGTGGGTTAGGTTAGTGGTGTTACGATCGATAGACGAGGGGAGTTGAGAGAGACAGGTCGTGTTGCACGGGAACCGCCGGGGATTTGATTGAGTGGTGGCGTCGGAATAGGAGTGGTGGGTTCACAGGGAGCATGTGGTGGAATGGGTGAAGCGATTCAACCGATTGGAAGGTGAGATTGTGGGTATGACGCTTGCATATATGGGTTTTGGGTGGCTGTGAATTATCTGACTTTGGTGGTAGAGATTGTGAGTCTCTAATTTCAGATGATATTATGGAAATACGTTGCATCTTTCTTGAAATGTTGTACTTTGAAGTTTCCTCACGTAATATCTATAGATTTGTGAAAGAAAAAATGCCATACCTAATACTCCACGCTAGCCTCCACGAATAACTTCAATCTCATCACTCGACGCATCGTGCCCCTTGAATTCTGCTTCTTCCCACTCGGCGCTAACAACCGTCGTCTTCAAGATCTTAGAGTGGCTTCCCGTGCTCGCAGTCTCCCACCTCTTGTCATCCGTATGTCTATGATGTACGGCTGAGATTTCTACATCCGTTGCGCCATCCAAGCGCCTTGGACCTCCAGGTATCCCTGAAGCAGAGTTTGTATGCGTAGTTTTTTCTTGTGAGAGTATCGGCAAGAAGCGTTTGATTCGAGTATTTTCAGTATGGAGACTTTTTCTACTTGACCTTGTGATCCCGGTGCCGACTCTGGAGACGATACTAGATAGCTGATAGGAACTGTTTTTACTGCGGGAGATGCCATGCTCAGATGATGTACCTCGTCGGCGTAGATCGTCACTCGCATATAATCCTGATGGAACCGATTCTAATAGGGGTCGTATGTAGGGTACGCAAGATGTAATGATCGTGATGCACTCAATGATCTGAGCGAGGAGTGTCCATTTCCAGAGTGCCTTGGTGGGATTGGGCGATGTGAAACCATCGAGGTAGATCATCTGGACGGCAGTCGCAACGATGTCTCTAAGATGTGTGAGCTAAAAATTTACCATAGAATAAAATTCATCAAACATACAGTGACCGTGCACCAAAAAAGGTGAGGATAGTTATCTTCTTACTCATGCTCATTTGCAGTGTCATGACAACATGCACTGGAAAAGCAATAAGTGCCAGGTCAGTGAGGATATTGACAGCACCCACGGAACGCCAAAAAGAAACCTATTGACTTGTCAGAAACAAAGAGATGCTATGATGGCGAGCCTCAAACTCACAACATTGAAACACATCTCTTCGTTCCCTAAGAAGCGCCATGGCTCAGTGGCTCCGCACTGGAAAGCTGCAAGACACATTGAGAATATCGTCCACAGTGCAATGAAGCCAGCTAGTGATAGACCGAGGTTGCGGTGGGTTTTTGAGGCCGTGAGAATCATGAGCAGCGAGATGATAGACAACTTCGCAAACCCCAAAGTCGAGATATAGAGAAGGTTGTTTGCATATTCGGCCTAAATCACTGTTATCACATCATTGGTCCAACATTCAACTTGATGGTATGCCTTACTTTTCGATATGCCGCCAGCTGACTTTGGGTGAGTAGCAATATGTCCCTCCCAAGGCCATTATGCGTCTGAAGGCTGACGGCCCCACCTGATGCTATGCTTGAGGCCTAGTTCACATAAATCATCAGTAATATGAGCAAGGTCAACAAGCGAGGCAATGCATCAACGACAACGTACCAGAGCCAGCATGACAAAAGCATCGTCAATATCTATCCTCCTCCGGAGGGCACGTTTCGTAATCAGCCTAGTTAGGACTGCAAGTGCGGAAGTAATCAGCAAGGTCCAGGTAACGACATTGACGAACGGTCCGACATCCGCGCCGCTTCCCGGCCGCCGCGGGATGGGGTGACGGGAAGAAATAAAAGGCAGCACTGCCATTCTTGCGCTCTTGCGCTCTCCCCGTCCTCGTCAAAAGTATGAGACACCGGAAGCTTGCAATATCAGGGAATAAGCGGTGGCGATGACGAACGACTACTCAACTGTGACTCGCACTTGTGGCAGTCTCAGTTGAGACAGATGAGACATCAGTGAACCAGTAACAGCCAACACATGCGAACAACAAGTGGATGTGGCTACCAAACGCCTTAATGCGTCCATCCATTCATCCTGGAGCGACACAGGCGCGCAAACAAAGTAAGGCTGCGAGCCGCCAAATGGGCGACAACGCGCGATTGGAAAACCGACAGCCATCATATCGCACAAAGTAGTTATCCGCTGTCTGTTCACAATACAAGACATCTGTAGTGGCGAAACAAGAAAGACAGAAGATTGACAGAAGGGAAACAAGCGTGTACACATCCTAGATGTAGAGACGCAGCTGTATCGCGTTTCACAGGCGTTACAAGGCGACAGAGTGACATGCACGAATGCAGAACTGTGTCGATCGCCGCCCAAATTGCCCATTTGTATGTTGGTTTGTGTCACCTGGTCAGATGAATAGGTGTGTCAGATTGGGTTAGTAGATCAGATCATACCCCAGTCGCTAGTACGGGCAGCCTTATCGTGTTATTGGGCTTGCCAGCTTTGACAGGCTAGGTGACCTGCTTTTAAGCTTGTTGATCGTTATGTAACCCTGTAGCACACCATCCTCGGCATTGTGTTACGGCAGCTGTTACCGGGAAGTTGAGTAAGACGGCCAGGCGCTGACATTGTGACATATGTGCCAGCGCACATCTGCTGCGGTGATCCATTGATATGCTGGGTCGAGATCCGGTCGCCGCTGCAGCGGTGGCGCTCCATACTAAATGGCTGCTCACAAACTCCTACATGGAGAATGTCATGGAACACTGTCAAGGTAGATACGCTCTGCTTATCAAATAGAGAAGTGATGCATGATGGAACAAGGTGAACAACGTAGCTCTTAGATGAAACTGTTTCTCTTCTCTTGACTCGGTGACTAAAGAGCATATTGTACAGCATACTACACTTCCGGCGTATGTACTGGATGTAAGCTACTTGACTTGCAGCGTGTGGAAAATACTGTATGCAATTAGCATATTTACCATACCATGAAAAATAAAATCATATACCTTGAACTTCGGTCAGTAATGTTTCCCATGTGAATCAAGTATCATGAATGAAACTTGACATGGTCTTTAACAAAAGTCTCGACTTCCCCAATCGCGCCGGTATTCGAGGTTTCTCCTTCTGCCGATAAATGGTGTATAAGCTCTTTGAGTTTTCTAAAATCCTCCCACGAGACGTTCCCAGTGTCACCAAGCGAAGGTTTGCCGTCTTCCCAGTGAATTCTGTTATCGATAGGTGCCGGGTTTCGGGCCACTTCGCTGATATCAGGCACAGTTCGAGCTACCTGTTGCGTAGGTATAGGAGCTGCAAAAATGCTCGCCACAGATGCAAGGAGCGAAATTAGAGTGATAGTGACGTGCATGGTTGGTGGCTTGAATTGCGCTTGCTTCCTCGAATTTTCACGTTCTATCCAAAGGTCAGTATGTCAGTATGGCACGGGTTTACGGAATATTGCTTTACTCACACGACAGAAGAATGTAGAATGAGGTCGCAATGTGTGAAAGAGTACATATTGATGTTCTGTGCGTTAAGACATATGTATTAGCCATTACTTACCTCAGCTCAGCATGTCGGGACGGTCGCTTTTCGTATGTAATCGTGGTCTTCCCAACATATTAGACGTGCATTGTCCTCAGCCGCTCTTGAAAACCGTCAGCCTCGGGATCACAGTTGCACTGCGCTCGCCCCCAAATCCTCCGAACATCGATCACAGTAATAGGACAGGCCCACACCTCGGTCGATTTGTGATAACAGGAAATGACGATACTGATAAGGGTGTCTGCCTCGTTCTTTTCGTGGTCAAGCGACTTGACAATACATATCTTCCGATCCATGGTTCAAAGATGCTACTGGCTAGCAACCACTATGTTGTGTAGCCTACATCGATATCGTGTCGCATGCTCATCGGAACTTGTAGAGAGCTGAAAGGCGAGTGTTTTCGTTCGTAGTGTGGAAAAACCTAACTTTTAGTATGAATTAAACAACCGACAATAAAAGCCACAAGCGATTCGCGTCTCCCTGAGTGGGCCACCCGCGAACTCAGAATACGATTACGTCTTCTGCATTCTCGTTGTGCTCGTATGGGTCCTTGTGTCCATGGTATTCGAAGTAAGCCCGCTGAATGTCCTGATACGGAGATGAAGGTGGGCAAAACGCAAAGTTCTCAAGCGTATTAGTAGCCTCGCGGTAGTCGTCAAACTCGTAACAGGCATGCTGATCAGGACGCCTTGCCCACGCGATTAATTTGTTCCAGTCGCGGCACTTTCGGTCCTGACCATGGCCAGCTTCATGGGACAATGGTGCTGGCATTGGCGTATCGTCAGCTGTGCACATGATGTCTTGTCGTAGCATATCTAAGCAGTGGTAGATGTGTAGCAGATTGAAGGATTGCTCGCTTCCCTTATGCTTCAAGACTATAGCTTTACGAACAAGTTTCTGGTAAAGTCGGCTTTTGAGTATTCGCAGAGGGATGCTAAACTCACTAGGCAATGTAGGTCGTGTATACCCCTGACATAGTATACACTACGTTCAGTATCCCATGGAAATGGGGTGGAGGGTGGGAGGCCCAGACGCTCTACAGATTTGTCGTCTAGTGCTACTGCCATGGCGTTTGTATCGATGGCATCCCATGCTGCCTCCATGTCGCTGTCGCTTGCATTAGGGTGCCAGTATCTGGTCATGGCGTGATAGGGCACGTTGGTATCGAAGGTCAGTCCGCCTTTAGGACCGTGAGCACGCATCGAATATTTCATAGCCAGTACCTACTATACTCGCTCTTTGCAGGAGAGTGTAAGATGCGCAGTCTGGCATTGTCCATAACCAACAAGATGTTTGCTGAAAGTGAGAGTAGCAAAAGCGACAAGTATGCAACAAAGCTGCGCGTATTGGTCGGAATGATCTCGGTACTGTTGGAGTCCCATGAAATGCTTTCTTTTGCTTCTAGTTCCGGCAAGCCATTACCTTCTTCGTCGCGACATAGTGGCTGGTATGCTGGAGATCCTTCCATCTTGGGGTGGTTCATATGATGGACATGGAGCGCCAAATCTACATACGCGGCCTCATAAGACAGAAATCCTGCCGACCATGCAGTACGTGTCCAGGTTACCAGTAGTACAGGCGTACGTCACGACTACTGTCGGGCGAAAACAGCCCTTTAGCTGTTGCGCTCCGACAGTCGGGTTGTGGATGAATTGCAACGCCATCTGCCTCTGTGGACGGTTACATCGCCGAGCAGGCGGTCTTCCGGCGCTGTACGATCGAGGAAGGTCGCAAGCATCTTCAGGCCATGATAGTGATACCAAGCGAGGGGTTATCGGGCAAAGTGTGCTAGTGTAAAGGGTGTGACTTGCCCGGACCGCCAAGGCGCTAATAGTGTCAACGGTACCTTCCTTGTTGGGCGTCTTCACCCTAACACGGCAATCTACGATGTCCAATACTTGGAATATGCTATATCTCCGGTTCCGCTGTCCATGCGCCATGGCGGCAAGGTAGCGTATTCGACGACTACTTTACCTGTCCGATATCGCCACAGCCTCATCTGATCACTCAAGTGCAACCATGGGGCAAAGATACTTTGTCCGCGAGGCCAAAACAAAGCAAGAGTTGGATAGCATCTTGGAAGTTATTTGGGCTGCAAATCACACACCATACGAACCTTTTATTCAACTTGTATTTCCTGTTCTTGGCTATACGACTGCTCATCGCGAGGCTGCTATCAACGAATCGAAACAACGCCTCTGGGAACAACACCAGGCCGATCGGTCAATCCATTGGTTCTACGCATTCGACACCGTCACAAACAAAGCTGTGGGCTGCGCACAATGGGTCATTTCAACAACAAATCCTTACGCAGCAGGAGGACCAGATTTGAAGGCACCGTGGTGGCCCGAAGGTGAACAGCGGCGTTTCTGCGAATCGATACTGAATCAGGTGTACAAGCCCCGCGCGAGCTGGATGGCACGGCCCCATTGTGGTGAGTGGAGCATAAGTTTCTTTCTCCAAACGCGCTATTCTAGGGATCGATAGTATTGGAAACCAGTTGGAGTTGTTTTCTTCCACTCGCTGACATTGACGAATAGCACTCAACTGGATGGCAGTGGATCCTGCTCATCGACTCCGGGGTATCGGTTGCCTGCTTATGGATGTGGGAGTCGTGCGTGCCGACGAGCTCGATGTGGAATGTTGGATGGAAGCGTCGGCCATGGGTAAGCCGCTATACGAAAAGTTTGGTTTTCAGTCGTTGCTGAAAATTGCCTTCGACACCGAAAAACCAAATGCGAGCGACGAATGGAGGAAGAGCGCCCATGAGCTGACTCCTGCACCAATTTTCGCTATGTGGAGACCGACAAAGTCTTCTCGACAGGGTAGTCGGGGTGAGGTGCAGATGCCGTGGACGCTAGGTACGCGAGCTTGAAGCCTGCACATGATCTATCAGACTTGATAGGGCCAAGCCAAGTAAATGATAGGCAAATGATGTCAGAAAAGATCGAGTATCTGCCATGACTGACGGGAAGATCATGGCCGGAACCTGCAAGGGGCATGCAGATGACGTTGCACAAAGAGTGGATATGGCAAAGGAGTCTAGAAATGAGCATGGTCAGAAGGCTTTCAGTAGAAGGAAAGGAAACTCGGACCAATATTTGAGAGTGGAGTAGTGTAAGTCATTGTTGGGGTCTGCCTTGTTGTTAGCCGAGTTCATGTGGAGAAAGCTCTCGCGGTCAAGCACCGCTGATGATAGGTAGTACATAGTGGTCTTACATAATCTTTGCGGCCCTTGACTACTACCACAAGGCTGACATGACTACTGAGCAAGATGACAACAGTCGACTGAGTATGTATGGCTGCATCCGATACATATATGGCCCATCTCTTTTGTATACCATCTCCTGCGGCATCTGCAGCACTCCCATACACAGTCGGGTATCGGCTCAGCGCCAGGATAAGGAGTGTAGTGTGGTGCCGGGACTGGCAGGGCACGCTTGCTCATACCGAGGAGATCAAGGCAAACATGTGGTAGTGGACTGGAAACGACAATCCGTCGCCAGGTATTTGCGGACGTTGGTAACGGGGTTTGTCGGCACAGTATAGGGTGGCGTGAGTCAGTTGAAGTTACGTATGATCCAATCTGGCGGGTAGAGTGAGTACACGTAGCTGCCCATGCGAAGCAGGCAGGCAGCGAGGATCAGGAAAGTGCAGGTCATCGGGCATGCCTGGCTCCTTCCTCCACGTCAGGCCACTGCGTCTGATGAGCTGGTTGGGCTGCGCTTCGTCTTTGTACCTTTGAGATTTTGCTCTATTTCTCTAAACATGCTAAATGCTGACTTGGCCCCGCCGTGGAAGATGATGCGACACAAAAAAACCAGCCCAAAAGCCCAATCTCTCAACCTAAAATAACCGTCCAAGACGAGAGAGCGGGAAACAACAAGACGAGGGACGGGCCGAGCCCAGTGGAATGCATTTACAACCACCCAGCTTTGAGCTTCTCAATCGCCTCTTTCTCGGAAACCACGTCTGCCATCTTGGCGCCCATGTCCATGATATTTGCATCGTGGACAGCAGGTGATCTATCACCACAGGCCTCGCCAACAACCTGGCAACATTGTTAGCGACGTCTCCACAGACCCAATCATTGCCATGTTAGTGCACACCATTGGTCGAAATCCGAGGCACATTGCGTCCAGAGTAGTTGCACGCACGCAACCACTGGTACTGACACCGCAGATGACCAGAGTATCCACGCAGGAGATTTGGAGTCGGGTAGACAGATCGGTTCCGAAGAAGGCGGACGGGTAGCGTTTGGATACGACGACTTCCCCTGCAGCAGGCTCCAGGCCCGGCACCCAACTCTCCAGGCCCGTCTCCTTGCCCCGCTGGAAAACATGCAGCAACGGGACCTTGTAGGCGAACAGCCCCGCGTCGGCCATGTCAGGCTCCATGTACTCAACGCGGGTCCATATCAATGGTACTTTTCCCTGGCGGGCGGCATGGACGAGTTTTGCGATGGATGCGGGCACAGCCGCAGAGGCAGGGTTTGACCGGGTGTCGAGCGGGCTATCCTCACTCCAGTAAGCATTGCAGACGTCGACCAGCAAAAGGGCCGGTCTGTTGCCCCATCCGATGGTTCCTGCAAAGCCGCTCGCATGGCCGCGTGGGGCTTGGGATGCCATGTCGTTGTCGTGTGGTTAGTAGTAGGTTAGTCATGATCAAAGCCGGCTGTCGAGGGCAGAAACTACTATCGTGGTAGCGTAGCGTCGCGTCTAGGGGACGAGCCGTCTGCTTCTACCCAGGGGACTGACGGCCAGCGTCGTCACCTTTAAATCTGTGTCGGCGCCAGACATGGCTCACGTTATAAGGACGCAATGTTGACCACGCCCCGGCATGGATTGGACGGAACTTCGGACCAGTCGGGAGGCGTTTGAGCGGCTTTGCTGGAGTCGGGAGTATGTAGCCGCCGGTAGCGCGGGCCATTGATGCGCCGACGCCCATACTACCCGAGGTATCTCGACGATTTCGCACTGCCACATGGGCAAGCCCGCGGCTGCACGCATTTCAAAGCTCTCGCGTCTCGATGCAATGGCCTACCGTGTCGCCAACCGGCCTGTCAGCGCAGTGTTGATTTCTGGCACCATCCAATACGCGCGCCTGGAGCCCTTTATTCCTCACAGCAACCTCGACCCCGGACTTGGCATATGATCGGACTTCCCCACACGAGCGCGACCTCCGCGAGGGCGCAACCGGAGACCGATGGCTCTCCCTCTCCCAAGTCTGCCAGCCTCGCCCCCATCATGGACGTTCGGGAGGGTAGGATAGGCAACGCCTTTGCCTGCGAAAGATGTCGAAAACACAAGGTTCGCTGTGTGCCCTCGGATACTCCGAGCATTTGCCAGAGGTATGTTGACTCGTCGCTGTTGTTACTCCACATCCAATGACACGTGCCCCAGGTGCCAGAAGGCTAGAGTAGAGTGCGTAGAGCATGTCGCTCGCAGGCGGCCTGCAAAGGCGCGCTCTGATGGCCAGACTCCCAGCAAACTGCGCGACTTTGACAAGAAGCTGGACAAACTGTCTGCCATTGTTGCGACCATGGCGCCTTCTCTGGCTCAAACCAGTTTACCCTCGGTAGTCACTATTCCCTCCCAACTGGCAGTCCTAGACCCGCCGCAGCAGGCCCAAACGGCAAAACAAGCAATTGCTCCAACAGTGCCTCTATCGTCTGCGCCTACCACTGCACTTCTCCCCAGCCCCGGATCTCAGACCGAAAACTCATTGCCATTTTGGGAATCTTTTAACGAAACTCTGTCATGTCTTGGCCGATTAGATCCCCTCATTAGGTCCATCAGCTTGGTACACATGCAAATGCTGCTTGATACCTACCGTGGCATGGTCGACTACTTTCCGTTTGTGATTGTACCCAGGGATTGTCGTTGCCAGGATCTGTTCCATAATCGCCCAATGTTGTTGTTTGCAGTATTAACAACCGCATCCTACGATTCGCCCCAGCTTCGGCACACACTTAGTCAAGAATTCCGAAAAGTAGTCATGGTCAAAATCATGAAAGGCGAAAAGAGTTTGGATTTGCTCCAGGGACTGTTGGTTTTTATAGCTTGGCACCAACACTACATGGACGCTCAGGCCGTTTCAATCACCTTGCTTCTTCAGCTGTGCCTGGGCATAGCACATGACTTAGGCTTGGACAATATATCAAGAGCCGCAAGGAGTCCTCTACACAAGGATGATCCCAGAGACAAAGAATCAAAACGGGCTTACCTGGGATGTTACTATCTATCGTCCAACATAGGGTTGATGCAACCTCTAAAGGCACGATCCATGACACACACGACAACTGTCCGAAATTACGCTTCTGAGTTGGCTTCTTCATGGGAAAACAAGACAGATACAGTTCTCCCTATATTGATGGACGTTTGTCAGTATATGGAGGATGTGGAGGAGACATTTCGCAGTCAGTCAGAGCAGGCAGTGGTTGTCCGCACACAAGTCAATCGTTTGAATGAGAAGTGGGAGAACATTCGCCTTTCCTCTAAATTACAGGCAAATGACTTTGGTGAGTATTGAACATATACAACCTGATTGAACCAACACTAACAGTGTACCAGCAACCCTGCAATGGCTACAGCTTGCAGCCCGCATACATCTTTACCGAATCGCCGCTTCTGTCGATCTGGTAGACCGAGACTGTACGCCTTGGGCCTCAGGGTTCCAGCTGTCATTGCGTGTAACGTACGTACGATCCCTCGAGCAATTCCTCGACAACACCACCAAACTCTCCTCGAACCAATTCGAATCCGTCTCATTAATCGACTGGCTCAACCTCGTAAACACCATTACCAGCCTGAGCAAACTCGCCCTCTACGCATCCCCCATCCCTGGCTGGGACCCCAGCGAGCTCCAACTAGCCCGAACATTCGATCACTACCGTGACCAGCTCTCCTCGCTCATGCCGCGTCCCCGAGATACCTCCAACAACCGTGAAGACGCCTTCGAGCGATTCCGCCGCATCACCTCGACTATGCGTCTAGCGCTGCACGACGCACCCGGCAGAGGAAGTCCCAACGGCACAACGTTCGAGCTTTCGACAGGCTCAGGCCGCACAGTATCGCTACTGCATAACCTCGCCCTCCCGAAAATTAACGGCGGAATAACAAATGGTGCAGAGAAGCTGCCGAGTCTCCGTGACGTAAACCCTTCGTTCGACGTGACGAGTAATGATTTTCACTGGAAATTCCTACTCGGTACTGTTTGAAAAGGTTTCTCTTACGCAAGACTACAATCACGGCCTACACGTCATTCCCATCTTGTCAACCCTCCTCATTTCCATGTTTTCCTTTCCCAATCAAGTCTCTCTCTCCTCCGCTATTAAAAAACGGTCCCCGTAATCGCGTTCTGTTTTTTTCCTCACGAAAAAAGGGGGGGGTTGGCGGCGGTACATGAAGTGTGATTAGCTAGAAAGTTAACCCGTCCCCCTTCCCCCCTTCCCCAGCGTGTTTCTGGTTTTTATAACGACATGTCCCTCCTGTTTTTGTTTCCTGTCCATGCCGAAACAAATTTACCTACCTACCATTAGTTCTCTTTTCCTTCGCCCTCTTTCTCTCCGTCTCTCTCTCTATCGATATCTCTATCGATCTCTCCATGAATTTTTTTTACTCATTTATATATACCCAGCATCATCTTTTTTTTGAACAATAGTTGGTTGTTACTTGACCCGCCTTGTTTATGCAGAGAATACCAAAATCACGTTTGAAAGTTTTGTTAGATGTTTCTTTTTATTTGAAGCTATGCTACGTCTAGCATATGTTTTGTTTTGTTTTTGCGAGAGTTTTGAAATGTGGGGTGTGATGAATTAAGTGTTTTTTTCTCGTTGATGATGGTGAAGTAATGGGTGGTATAGCGTCGGGTGAGAACGGGTGAGCTGACAAGTGGGGGGGGGGGATTGGGATAGTTGAGTGCTGTACCGAGAGGACTTGGCGAGAGAAAAGACAAACGACACTGGCACAAGTGTGAAGAAAAAAATCACTGAAATGAAAAGTCGTTTGATGGAAAACAAGTCAAACAGTCCAAAAAAACAAAAAGTCCAGACAAGGAATAAAGCCTCTAATCATCTTAATATTCTTCATTTCAACTAAAGCTACAAAACATGCCGGGTATCATTGCGCCCCTTTTAAACCTACAATAACCTTTCCCACACGCTTTTTTTGGGCAAGTTTCTAATCATAATGCTCCCCCACCATAATCCTCGATATCACGACCCCTCGCACTGCGCCCCACCCTCACACTCAGCGAATCATCCGGAAAGGATGCCCCTCAGTACTAAACACCCAACTATCCAGACTCGCGACTTCGACGTCCGAAAACGTAAGCCAAAGATACTTGAGCGTCTCCGCAGCCCAAAAGCTCTCTTGCATGTCAACCCATCTGGTCTCATCTTTTGAAGTGGTATCGTAAACGTCTGCTAGCTGTGCATATCCAAATGGCGCCTTGCAATGTTTTTCGAATGCGGAAAACGCGTCCCAGGCCCAATCACGATAGCGTTTCTCACCAGTGATACGCCAAGCGTAGAAGATACTTTCGACGTACTCGGGGCGACCCTTGTACGCTGTGTCGCGCGACCAGATGCCAGTGGTAGATGCTTCTTTCTTTTGACGCGGCGTTTCCGGAGCGAAGAGCGGGTTATCGTAGCTGAATTTTGGGGTCCAGGACCATATTTCTGGGCCGATTTTGGTGGGGGTCGAGGTATACGCGTGGTGGCAGCCCTCAAGGAGTGCGAGAGCAAAAGTGCGGAGGGGTTTTTCAGTGTAAAATTTTGAGGCGAGGAGAATGGTGCCGGGGGTGAAGCAGGCGAGGTGGCTTTGTTGATTCTCGAACTGCTCATCATCTTGGCGACCGAGGAACAGGTGTTGCATGAGGTGTCCGGGTGCGGGTGCAGAGCGGGAGGCAAGATGTCTACGGAGAGAGTAGGCAGCCCTCACAAAGCGTTCTTTGTACTTTGGAAGATGAGGATCTGAGGGAGGCGCCAAGATTGTCATTTTGACCAGGTACTCGTAGTAGGAATCGTGGCCGGCATCCCAGTGTCTTTGGCGGCGGACGGGCTCTCCTGTCATGATATCGACAGGGGCATCTACCATTCCTGGCCATGGCGTCCTCCAATTGGACCACACTAGAGGTGCCCATGCTTTTGTAGAATTCAAGACGTAGATATCATCGCCAGTCAGCCTTGTCAGTACGCGGTTTTCCAGGATTGAAGAGCCGATTCGTGCGGGTCCAATTGCAGGGTGCTCAAATTCACGCTGTGCGGGGTCATCGTGTAGGATGAAAGAAGGATGTGGCTCGCCTTCTTCTGTCGTAAAGTCTACACGGGGCCACGGCAAGCCTGTAGGGGTGTCATATGCTGGCGCTAGCTTGCCTGCCAGAGTAACTGCCTGCTCGAGTATGAGGTCGCGCGCCTCTCCTGTTAGTACATCCTCGGGAATAAGCCCAACATCATACAGATCCACAATGGACAGCAGCCCGCCCAAGTAGCGTATCGTGGTCTCGAAGGGGTCGACAAGGTCCTCTGCTTGGGTGAAGTTGATAGCCACCATGTGCTCTAACGAGTGTGCTAGCTCATCCCACAAGCCCATGAGAGCTAGTGTACTTGCCGAGTCTACGATGAAAGCGCCCCAGCCATTTCTAGACGAAGCACTGCGCCCTGAGACCGGCAAGATATCGTCATGACCCCAAGCGCGCTCCTTGTACTTCCAGAAGGTATATTTCATGGCATCGCGCACGCTGTTTGCCCGCGTCTCATCCGCCTTTCCAGTGCCGTTCCAGTCGGCATATTGTATTTGTGCGCCAGCCTGCGTCGCACCCTGTCCGCGAAAGGTTGGGTTCTGAAACTCCTTAAAGAGTAGGTAGAGGGTGATGACGATGATGGCGGCGAGGAGCTTGAACGACGACTCGGGATTGCGTTCAAACTTGGATTTGCCCCAGCGGCGGAAGCCGGGCATGATTGAAGAGGATTCGAAGCCGTATAGTGCTGGCGGGGGCCTCAAGAAGCGGGTGGTAATAGCGCGCACATCTGTCCTCCGGGACGGGGTGCGGAGATGCGGCAGTCGACGTTAGTGGTTCAACGCGGACATGCCATGGCCTGCCAATTGCGTCAAGCTAGAGAAAACAACAGGACTGTGAGAGACCAGTTGGACCATGAAAGTTGTCGAGGTTGTGGTGTGAGATGGCGCGTGCTGCTGGTACTTGGCCTGGCCTTGGCATTGCGAGTCGTTGTGCGTGGTGGTGCGTGGTGCGTCGTCATACCGAGCCTGGATCATCACCACACTAGCAACTTCATAACGCCCAACATGGCCGTTTGGCAGTACGATATTCCCATCTGAGTAGTCGCAAACGTTTTGAGTTACTGACTATGGTTCAGGTGGTTCAAGAGCATACCGCCCAAGACACGCATGATTATTGGTGTGGGAGTCATGGCGTATGCGGGTGTTGGCCTTTACATTTCCGATGTGGCTGAAGAAAAACTCGGCTATACCCCTACTGAAAAAGACAAGGAGCAATTGAAGGATGCTCTGCCAAAGATATCTGCTGTGGAGAAACGAAGCACGTAACTGTCTGAATCATTTTTTGCGCAATCCACACATGAAAAAAAATACATTCATTCAGATGGCAGCACCAGTGAGTATGTTTCCATATTATTGCTTGTACGCACAAAGCAGCCCAAGTCTGACGATTTTCAGCGACGACTCTCCTCTTATTGTTTTGTAAATTGACTTGCGGGATAAAGTATCATTGAAGTAATCATCAAAGGGTCAGAAGAAATGCATATTTACGCAGTGGCTTTGGAGAGGGAAAAGCTTTGTTATTTAGATCTAGGGATTGAATCAGAAGAAGCATACTATGAGACATGGAGAGGGCTAGATTGAAACTCGAATTCAGACCGTCTTTCGTCCATTGAAATTCAACATTCTATATACAGCCATCACTCAAGCTCAATCTCGCCCACACTGACTATAACAACCACCATCCACACACCCCAACCCACTCACACAACTCCCAAACCTAGGATACCTTAACACTTCCCATGCCGACGTAGTCGCCCCGAAGCACCACCGCCGTGCTGCTTTGTCGCCGCCGTCGAAGCTGCCGGCAACCCAGGCATCGTCGCGTTACCATCACTAGTAGTACCATTCCACAGCTGCGGTCCGGGCAAAGGATACGTTGTTGCCTTCTTCGCCTCCTCCGAGTCAATATTAAACGCGATACCAGGTTCCTTTCCCGTATACGCGCCAGGGAACGACACCAGAAACGATGCGGGAGGCGATGCGGTGCCGGAGCCTGTGACGGTGAATTGGGCGCATTCTGGGTAGACTGCGTAGGGGCGTTAGTTTTAGCTAGATGGCGTTGGAGTATGATGATGGTGAATGGGAAAGTTACATTGAGGATTGTTTGCCTGGTGTAAGGCAGTGAGTTCGTGTCTGACCATGTACTCCCCGGCTAAGACGTTTGGGATGGTGATGGTTGCGTTGAGGGTTTCGAAAATGGCGTCTCCGGCCCAGACACCGGCGTTTTCGGTCCCGGATATGAGACCTTGCTCGAAGATCTTGACTGGGGGTTGAGGTTAGTGATGTGGGCGGTCTGGTAACTGGGTGTTCGTTCTTACACCAGACTTTGCCTGAGCCGTCCCAGCTGTCGCATGAACCGGGGCACTTGGCCATGTAGACCATAAATGTGGCTGGCTTATGAGTCCATTGCTTCCAGTGGGTTGTCAGTTTGGAGCCTGCGGCGATGGTGCCTGTCACACCAGTGCCTAAGAGTCCCTTGTTGTTGCATCGTATGTTCACAGTCTGGGTAGTGGGTTAGAATATCAGTGCCTCGTGTTGTACGGAAATCTTACCGTGAGGTCCTTGATGAATAGAGGATCATAGGATGAATACTGTCTCTGTATACTCTTTTGTCCGGCCGGGTCGTTGTATGGTTCCCAACTGAATGTTCTTAGCGCTCATCGAAGTATTCGGTACGTGGGAAGAGACGTACCCTTGATATACTTTATCACCAACAATATACTTGTCAATGCCTCCATGCGCAAGTGCAGTCACGGATAGTGCAGCTGTTGTGAGAAACACAGAAGCCTTCATGTTGGATATAGATTGCTAAGGTGGATATCTAGTGTAACCCAAGACCGTACTTTAGTGGAGAGAAAGAGAGCCAAGAATGCGATCAATTTATGTCTCTCCTGGGTCTCCACATATTCGATCAGTGTCACGCGTACTCGGGCTGTATATCGTAACGTTTCCAGCGATGAAACAACATCCAAACCGGCTGTCAAGTCCCATATTTTGATTATGTAGAGCCTTGCGAGATCGTGACCTATAGAGAGCGAGTGTAGTCGGAGCATTAACTAAAACCCCATCCGATACTAATATGAGTCAAACTCTATGGTTTGGCGAGTATGGCGAATAAGACGGGATTTTTGTCGTAACACAAATGAATAGTGCAGGGGTGTTAACAGCCGGAAGTCCAAAGTTGCGGGGAAAGCGGCAGGAGGTGGCTCATTACTCGGGTGCGTAATAGATTTGACACGTGGGCCATTCTACGCTAAAATCTTTCTGATCCGGACTATGAATGCTTGTACCGCTTTGAAGTATTACGATCAAAGCTTCGATGTTTCACGGCTAGTAGTACTGTCAGTGACCCAATGACAATGATGACGAGACATTAGAGCTGAAAAGGGTTTTCTGAATAGGTATTGCATAATACCGGAGATTCGACTGCGGATAATTACTGAAAGTTCAGATGAACGTTTAAAGTCTCTGTTAATGCCGTATCATATCAGTCTCAAGATGGCGATGATACCCACTCCTCAAAGTTACTAATGAGTCTGGGCACTGCGCTACGTCATCAGCCCCAACGACATATATTGTCATATAGCGCTTTGCAGTGATGCCTGGTCGAAGAAAATTTCGTGGGGTGTGAATCGACCGGCGCATGGATAATCGACAAATGAGATGTTGAACCGAGTGCTGGGTCCATGGCAAAATTAAGATGCAGAAAAGTGTGGGTTGCACCTCGGGCACATTGACCAAAATTCCGACGCGAACACGGGATTTCCCAAGCTCTGTAATGAACTGTGGTCGAATAGACTAGGCTTGTTTGGCAGTGCAGACTATGTGTATAGTGTTAATTAGGTGGGGCGGCGCTGCTGCAATTTCAGGACAGGAAGAAAGGACACCGAACTGAATAAGGTGGTACCCAGGCATGAGTCTACGTGATATTTCCGCATTTGAGATTGCTACTCAAAAGGGCTATGCCGAAAGGAAGGGGGATGATTATGTTGGGAATTGATTGACCACTCCGATTTGACATTACTGCATTTTGATGAACTCAGGATGCTAGGCAACCCAAGGATGTCCAAGTCAAAGATACCCAAATCATTGCTCAAAAAGAAAGGAGATATTTTCACCTCGTCTCCGTTTTAGACATGAGTATCATCCTTCCTGCTTCATACTCATATGTGAGAAGTGAATATCCGACCTTAACGCCATGTTTCATCAATGATCCCCTGCAACCAAAGGACTAGAGCCAATTCCCCTTTTGACAGATGTCCACCCCTCAAACAATCTTAGCACGCACTGTGGCAGACAGTCAGGCGTACTTCTGCCCCTCGCGCTTCTGGAGAGTTACCAAGAGGTCATAGAAATCCTTCCTCCAATCGACGCACTCGAGGTACTCCCACCAGAGACGAAGTGCAGGCGTCTCATCCATGTCAGACTGCAGAGAGTTAGCAACATCTCTCTCGGTGCTGTCAAATCACTTACCGCATTGAATGCATCGAGAATGGACTGCTTCTTAATCAAGGCCGTCTTCATACTGGCTTCACGATCCCACTGGCGAAGCTCATCGACATACTTGCGCACATCTCTAACCATTTTCTCTGTGAGCTTTGCATCTTCGACAGAGTTGATAGTAGTCGCGTCGTCTGGGGTAGAAAAAAGACGACCGCTATACTCGGGCCTGCGGAAGAAGTGCTTCTTAAGTTCCTCAGTAACCCATTCTTCCCTTGTCGGCGAAGCGAGCTCTTCGGCCCAGAAGTTCTTGACATGCTCAGGAACCTTAGTCGCCATAGTGTCATGATCCAACTTATCAGACCAGCGGGTCTGCGAGTAATTGCCATAGTATACGTAGCGCTTGTTGACAAGGACGAACATAGGCACACTCTCGTACGAGTTGGAGTCGGCGTCGAAAAGGCCGCCAAACTCTTCTTCGGGGGCCTTATTGAAGAATGCTGTAAGTTTGGCACCGTGCATGCCAGGCGCCTGGGGAAGATATGGCTCATTTTCCAGGTCGAGCTGATAGTATATCCGGTTTCTGAGTATGCAAGGGCCTTTGCCTTTAACAAACCGTAGACCTGGTGACCAGGGAATACCACCCAGATGGTTTGCAAGGAAGTTTGGATGAAATGTGACATCTGCACATGGGATGTTGCCTGCGAACGGGGCCAAGGTTGTGATGTAATGAGGCTTCCAAGACTCTGATTCTCCTCGGGCAGTAATCTTGGGGGAAGCAGGAGGGGTCGGCGCCGGCATCAGCTGCTGCTTAGCTTGTGAATCGACAAGTGCAATGGTAGCTTGAATCTGTTCTGGGCTGCGGGATGATCAGCTTTCGACAGCTCGATGAATATTAGGGTATACAAAACTCACCTATCACTAATGCTAGACGCAACCTTGCTCTTACGCAAATGAGGAGGAATCGACTTCTTGGCTGTACCGTCGGAACCGTTATTCATCGACCCATGAACCTCTTCTTTAAGCCTTTCCAGCTCCATACTGAAGTGTTTAGCGTCTTGAAGTGATGCTTCAATGTCACTGACAGTTCGGAGCGGACCAGAGTGTACAGGCAAGTCACGCTTGTTCAGCTTGTCGACGGTGGAGGAAAGGATGTGGCAGAGTTCTTTGAGACCAACGACATCCTCCTGTAAGCCTGTGTGCCTCTCTTCGAGGTTCTGGAGACGAGCCTCGAGATAGGTGGAAGCATTCTTTTCCTGAAGGGTCTCGTTGTTGCGCTGCGAAGCGGTCGGTGAGAACTTATCGGCTGCAGGATCAAGCTGTTTACCCATGGTTTTGACGGGGCGCGAAGAATGCTTGAAGGGAATAGACATGTTGGGTTCGGATAGTACCGAGGAAGTGATGAGGTCTCTTGCAGAGAGAACGTCTTGAAGCCAAGCAGACACTATCACGAATATCAGCTCGATGCAGCTCAAGAGGTGAGAGGCCTTGGGAACTACCTTGAGCCAATGGTCAATTCTTGCGACTTGAATGGCTAGCTGATGTGTATGATGCTGGTAGAGGCTTTCAATAGACCAAAGGCATCTGGATGAGATATCAGAGAAGTATGGTGTTGAAGAGATGACGGAGGTTGCTGAAAGCTGTGTGGAGGCTACTTATATAGATGAAAGGTGAGAGAAGCGGTGGTGAAGCGGTGATTGTTCATGTTGGTTGAAGTGAGTGAAGTGAAAGTAAGTCTGATAGAGGGCATTCATGTCAACTGTTCACTCAAGTGACTGGGTAAGAGATAGACTACGTATGCATAGACAAGATAACAATACCTGATCGTATTCAGAAAAGGTGCCAAAAGTATGTTTAGTGTCCACGCATGTGGCCGGGACAGTGTCTTTTGCTGGCTGAACCAGCTTGTCCATGATGCGGCTGGTTCGACTGACGTCCAATCACCTTGGACAGGTTGTCACTCGACCATCACTCGTTCCGGTACTCACCCATCTCTACTGAACCCCGACTTGCGCTAACCCCGGCTGCGGGTACTTACTTGGGTCCCGAGAAGATTCCGACTGCAACTAGCATCTGCTCTCTTCCTTTTTGTCGTTGTGGCACTCGCTTATCAGCTTCTTCGTCAATCTCTGCGCCCCCGCGCTACGCAAGGCAGTCGTCTTTCCCGAGCCAACATGCGCATCCAAACAACAGACACACGGGCGATTTGTGTAGTACGAGGAGGCTCCACGGGCAGATGCTGAGGGCCAGGGGAACACTTGGACGCGAGCTTACGCGTCTCCACTTTTGAAGGACATGCGGGCGGCAAAGGGCCGAGATGGCTGGCCGATACCCTGTACGAGCAGACTGGATGTTTTTTTGCTTTCCAAATGGCATGGCGAAGGTGCCCAATGCCATGCAGACCGTGTCAGCGACATCGGCAGTGCTTCCATTTCGGGGTGCACTATTGGTGTCAGGCGAGGGGCCGGGATGGATGGTGAGGGGAAAGCCGAGGAGCGACGCGCGACTTACGCGACGACGAAGCCATGCAGCGGCTTCTCCATAAGAGCCAAAGCTGGGCGAGGCAAAAGCAGAGGGCGAGCGGCAGCTATCCACTGCCAACATGCTCGCCCATCCATTCTCTCTCTACTGACATGGAATCTGGGTTGGCCGAGGCCTAATGCAGGGGAAGGAGGAGGGCAAGGGGACGAGTGCAAATGCGAGGGCGGACCCTGACCGAGGCGCGCCAACGTCATTTACCACGCTTGGACCCTTTGCCGTCATTTTGTTCTCCTCTCGCTGGCCGCCCGTACTAGGACAGCGCATGACCAGACATCGCGACTCCTCGACGACTCCTCGCACGCTCCTCACCAGCCCCCAGCGTGTCTGTATCTCGTTGCAGCCGTCCATTGGCCCTGCACAATGCCGCCAAAACGCACCCACAACCCCGATGACGCCCTCCCGTCGCTCAAGGACAAACTGCACACGCTCCAGACCTCCAACGCTCGCGGCGCCCGTCGCAACGGCGCGGCCAGCGTCATGAATGGCAGCGGTCTCAAGGAAGTAGACAATGCGTCTACCAACAGTGGAAACACTTCGGTCGACCTCAGCTCCTCAGGCAATGTTCGTCGCGCCTCTCTCGCCGTCCCGTCGCCTGGCAGCTTATGCATTTGCTAACATGCGCCCGCCGCGGACAGATCAAATGGTCAGCCCAGGATTCGTCTGTGCTCCACGGCTACCGAAGAGCCTATCGCCTCGACTGCCCGTCGAGCTTCAAGAACCCCCTCAGCCACGTCGTTTTGAACCAAGGCATCGGAACAATGTCCCCGACCATGGCGCGGCCAAAGCCGAAGCGCCGCGTACACAAGGACCAG